TTGGGACCAAAGTTTATTTACAATGGATTTGATTGATTTGCTGCTATATTTTCCATTATGGACACGTTAAAATTAGATTAATAATTATTTTCAGAAATATAGAAATAAAAAATACCTCGTGTTACAGATTCAATCATTCTCGTGCAGCAAAGTTACTTAAGAGCAATGAAAAGTAAACTTACACGATTTTTCACTAAAAAAGGAAAAACAAATTAATGGTATAATTATTTTAGTTTTAAGCAAATGATCCCCGAGAGAGTAGACCATTTCCTTACCTAATTATTCTTCTTCTTAGCTAGCTAGCCTTATTTCACTATTTTATTTCTTTGAGTACATGTGAATTAATTGGCAACAATGAAATCCATGGATGGGCCAGAAATGATACATGTACGATCAGTTGAGCACATAAGGGCAGTGGCTTCTAATTTGGTGGAAATCGTACTAGGGTTGTTCAGACCTTTAAAGCATAAATTGCAATGTAAATATGAGGAGAGGATTGCGGACACGAATAGGGGCAGCTGGGCTGCGGCTGAATTCATTAGGTCGTGAATCAATGATTGAAACGTATCCATGTGAGGTGATGATCAACAAGAAACAATTCATTTGCACTTGGCCGAGAACTTTGATTGGATTCTCCTTCGGTCCAAAAAAAACTAACCAATTTACCTAAATTTTCAGTTTTAGTACTTTACCTGTTCTCAGAAAATATTTCACATAATCTTAAAATAATGACAGAAATAATAGTAATTTCAAAATTCAATGTGAAATATTTTTTTAGAGCGTATAATTTATATTAAAATGTTCTCTTCGTCTCATAATTATTGTCCAGTTTGAGTTTTTAAGTTTAACACAATTTGAACTAAAAATGAAAACTCAAACATGACAATAATTATGGGACGGAGAGAGTATATATTAGATTAAATGAGAAGATCGTATAAAAGACAAATTAAGCTACCCTCGCCGCTACGGGCTATCTATTTCAATGAGGAATTTATGAGTTTTCGTGCAGAAAAAATGGCGTATAATCTGAACAAAGATGTCTTTCCGGCGCATTATGACAAATTGGTAGGTTATCTCTCTCTTTTTTACTAGTAATTAAAAAGAATCCGTACAAGATCTTTTCTTTTTGGCTAAATTTAAAAATTTGTAGATCCAACCTAGAGCAAAGAGTAAAAACTGTAAACTTCCATGAAAGAGCCAATCAAGGATGGTTAATCACGAGGAGATTTAAGAACGGAATATAACATAGAGATGACAAGCTAAATGATCATTTTACGATGCTTAATGTAATTGTCAGTTGCGGCATTCATCATTATGCTCACAAAAGTTTAACATAGTGCAAAATATAGTCATATTTTCATTTAATTCCTTAATTTATTTTTATTTTTTTTACTTTCATTTTGCACAATTAAGTTTTTCTTCTTTTTTTCATATTTTCATAACGTTCAAATGAATAATCTCTCTCATTGAATTATCGGCACTTTAAAAGAAGAAAAGATTATAGAAAAAATATAAAGTTACTTAACCCTCCAATCATTGCAGCTTTATAGTTATTAGGGTTTATGTACCAATGCGTGTCAGCTAGTAGCCCTAGCTTGTACACTATGGTAAACCAAAAAACATAAATACATGGCGATTTAATGAAAGATATGAAACTATTCCAACATACGTGATATTGTCATAGGCCCTATTCAGCCATCAATAAGAAAGATCCCACCAAACAGTGTGTGTGATTTGTCCAAAGACTGCAAAAAGCCAATTTTTATATAGCCCAGAATATTCATATTGATTTCTAGGAAAGCTCTGCCTTGAATTCTGAATCAGACATGTGCTCAACTTGATTTTCTATTTGATTTCCATCACGTTTAGGTATATTCGTTAGCATTTTAGCCCTAGTTCCCCATTGATACCTGACAACTGCGTCCTGTTCTCTGCATAATCTCATTTTGCTCCTTTCTAGTACGTAGTTCACCACTTCACCACACAAATTTAAACTTTCCCCTTAAATTTCATTTATATATAAAAAAAAAAAAAATTAGTGCATTGCCGCATCGAGTGAAATTCAGACGAAAGACTAGCGCTTTTAATTATTTATTATTTCACGAACAATGATATGCATCTCACTAAATCCATATCACCGCACACGGCATTTACTTAATGGACAATAATACACCACTTGATGTACCATTTCTTACTCTACAATCCAAATAACTAATGAAAATATTATTGGGTAATATCTTTCTTATTAATATTCATCCCATCAATAATCATTTCGACTATTATAATTTACCCTTAAAGGTTTATTGTTTTTGAAGTTAGGGTCTATACATTTCAAAATTTTAGACATAAAAATATTTAAAAACTCTATAAATCTAACAAATTAATAATTAACTTAATTTATTAAATTTTTCTCAATTCTTAAGGCGAGATTCAATAATAAATGAGACAAATAGGTGAGTTGTGTGACGGAATGAGAACTTTTAAATTGTAAAGTCGAAATAAGATTATTTAATCGTCATCGAGGGTCAAATTGAAAAAATTTCGTTAACGAACACCTTATAAAGAAAAATCCGACCAAATCTGGCCGTCTGGAGGAATCGATTGACTACCCTGACCCCTTAGTTCCATCAGTGGTGGTGTATCATTACTCTATTTTCACATCTGATTGTTTCTTGCATCAACAAAGACGAACTTATCCATTTTATTGTCCTCATGTTTGTAAATGGGTTTCTTGGTTATCGTATTATTTCAGTGATAAACATCAAAATCAATATGTAACAAAAATAGTATGAAATAAGGCATAAACTACACAATTTATGTGGTTCAACCACGTGCAACAAATTTTGTTCACAAGCGAGATCTATCAATTTATGTACATGAATTATTCTCAAATGATGCACATAATTTTCATCTCCGGTTTTCTTTAAACATGACCCGCCCATCAGCCAATATTTTTGGGAAATTTGTCTCTTTGTTTGAAATGTTTAGCTAAGTCAATGTCCATCAACATCCCATATTTATCTTAGACATCGACTATTGAGAAAAAAACCAAAAAGATGTATAATAATCTCAAATCAGCCGAAATGACTGTACTAGTAACTAAGGAAATTCGCTTTTGCTATTTTATTTTATTTTATTTTTGTTGATGTTAATATTTCCTCGTCGATGTATACATGCATGTAAACTTGTAGCAAGAGTTATGACGTGACAATCAGTGATACAATATTAAAAATTAAAATTGAAGTAAAAGAAACTAAAACTTTGTTGATAACTTCATATGTTACAATATTAAACAAAAATGACTCAAATCATTTTTTTTCTGTAAGGCATTAATCGGTCCCAGGTCCTTTTTTTTTTCTTGCTCTACTGGCGTGGAAGCATTTCGTCCATCCACGTTCATAGTTTTCTTTGTCGTCCAAAACAAAAAAAATAATAGCAACCACTTACTAGTTACCCGCAACATTACAATTTTAATCATTGCGTTTTCTACGTAATAAATAAATTACTACAACGCGAAACAATTTATATAATATCGTTTCTTAAGCCACTTCTTGATCTTGCCGATATTGGTTAGATTTAGACGCTAAACATAGTAATTATCAGTACTATTGTTCAAATCAGAAGTTAGAATTAAAGCTAACTAATTAAATCTAACTTCTAAGCGAAGATGATCATTCAACGGGGCTGTTCATCTTGACTTGTAATTTTTTTTTATAATAATGTAAATTATAGACCAACTTTACGCCGAAAGCTAAATCGTCAATCCCATGGTACCACGTATTGTGCCTCTTTTTCTCTTCTTATTGAAGACTTGCCATTTAAATGTTTGATTATTTCTAGGATTTTAATCTTTATATATGATCTTGTCGTCCTACCATTTACTGATCAAAAAAATTGATGTCTTTTTTACTTCCCGAAGCAAACAAAAAGCACTTGAAAATTGTGAGAGACGAAAACCTTGTTATAGTTTAACATATTCGATGGTGAGTATAAAATAACGCCACCGCACTATATATAAACGATCATGGTTCAGTAGTTGCCTTATTTTACCGTAGATATTATATTTTAACCTTTTTTTGTTTTTTTTATTTCAATGTAACATTTTAACTTTTATAAGCACAAGGATACAATCATACAAAAAGCCGTAGAGTTCAAAATAACGCAACCACACTATATATAAACGATCCTGGGCTCCCCAACTCTTCGACCATTCATAAAAATTTCTTAACGTTGATCTGATTGAGTCCTATCCTAAAATTCGATTTTCACGTGATATTACTCGGAATTCCCAAAAAATAGTATGGAATTGGTTTTGCCATAATCTAGACAGAACCAGATCTTTGTAATCCGATTTTTTAAAAAGATCCTTATAAAATTTTATCTTAAATTCTTATGTTTAAATATTTTCGCCCCTATTAAAATTTTCTTTTTCTATATTTTTGCCCTTCCATTCTGCAAATCCTTGCTCCGCCACGGTTATATGAATTCGCTCAAAACTTCACCACTATGTCAATGGCCATTCACTTACATATTCAATGAGTGTAATCAGTAACGCACCCCAAATTAAGCTCCTCGCTTGAGAATTGAATGGTAGTCTAGTAATTATGGTGTTATCTTTCCTGGTAATTGTTTGTAAGAGGGTTTAAAAAAATAAAAAAATGAAAAAAAAAAAAAACTCCCCGCTTGAGGAGTAACTCCAAATGCTCACTTACGAAGCATTTTCCAACCATATTGATATTTGTGCACCATTTTGTTGCTTTAACTTGTTCATACTAGCTCCAAACAAAATGATAAATCAATCACAAAACATAAATGATTGTATCCGTTTCCAATTTTCAACAAAAATGATAAAGGAAATATTGGGCCGTTTGCCCTTTCCAAAATTATTCCCACTTTTGCATCCTATCGACTTGAATCAATCGCCCCAATAAAAACAAATTATGCAATCCATTGCAGAAGAGTAGTGTGGAGTTAAATAAAAACCGAAGTGGGACACCTCCTCACGAAACATTGCAAATGATAATTGGGCCAAAGACAAAGTTAGGCTCTACAGTCCACTGGAATCGGGCAATTTCTTTGGGTCCAGAAGGAATTTCCGCCTCATTACTCACATGCAAGGCAGCTTCTTCCAGTTTATTGCACTTGACAGAGAATTCAGTGTCTAAATCCCTTTGTTCTTTTGTGTCATTCCTTGCATTTTGTCTGTGAAAAACAAGAAAGTAAAAGGCAGAAAAGAAAAGGCACAAGGAAAAGCCAATATGGCGTAATCATTGCCATTGAAAAGGAGGAAAAAAAGTTCAGAATTGCATGATTAAAAATGTTAGTATATTCAAAAGATGACAAAAACCAAATTAAAATACTACTACACATGCTTCAAACTTCAAACCATACACTGACACTGACGGCTGATGGTGGGATTCATGTACAAATAATTGACAATTAAATTAATCACAGCAAAAACGTTTGGGCCAAAAAAAGCTACTGTTACTGAATGATTGAATCATGTCCACGTGTTCCCGAGTTAGGCCAAACTTTGCTACCAATCAATGCTTCTTTATTCATCTCTCGTCATCAATCATAGGACTCTCTGAATCTCATCGGGTCAGTGTTCCTCTGTTTCAGCTTCCTTTCAACCTACCTTGTTGTGGTGGGGATCCCAATAGCGAGTTCGTTCAGAAAATCAAGCAAATTTAAAGTGGAGGATCCACCTTCTGCCACGGCTTCGTCTGCTGCTTTCTTGTACTTCTCTGCATTTTCTTTCAGCTCGCCGGCCTGAAATCCGGTTGTGGCTTCAATCAACCGCTCTGCAATTTCATCTCTGGGAATCACTCTGTTTTCGAAATCACCCCTTGACAATCTCAGGCCAACCTTGAAAACATCGACTAAATATTTAGCATCGGTAACCTGATCACCTAAACTTGGGAAAGTCAGCACTGGAGTCCCGGAAGAAAGTGCCTCCATTGTCGAATTCCAACCACAATGAGTCACGAAACAAGCAATTGACGGATGAGCCAACACTTGTTGCTGGTTGCTCCATTGCACTACTTTACCTTTGTCACCAACTGCCTCCAAGAAACCTTCTGGAAGCTCCGTCATTGGAGGCCTCATCACCCACAAGAACGACACGCCGGAATTCAGAAGCCCGTATGCGATTTCGTCCACCTGTTCTTGCTTCAAGATGACTGCGCTGCCGAAAGATATGTAGACCACTGAAGACGCTGGCTTGGAGTCAAGCCAGTCAGTGCAATCGTCCGCCGCGTAGACGTTGACACTGACATTGGTTGACCCTGGAGTTTTATCGGTTGAGTATAGAAACAGGGGGCCAATTGGCTTGATGGGGCAGAGCTTTGACATGTAATTGATTTCATCGTTTTCAAGCTCCTGGAATGACTCCATCAGTACACAGGCGTTCTTGTCCAAGTGTTTGAACATTCCTAAGATGGAATTTGTGAGGGAAGGATACTGGGTGTAAGGATGCAAGAAACTTGGGATTTCATCATACTTCAACAGGGGCATACAGGGCAACTGGACATCCAATTCAGGTTGGGATTCAGTTGGGAATTGAACGAGTTTATGGTAGTAATGGTAATAAGCTGAGAAGCAGGCGGCAGACTGAACCCACAACGGAGCAGAAGGGATCCGGAGGGAGTGGCCTACTTCAGCAACCCAAGGAATGAAGCAACTGTAAATCAGGCAACAGACAGGGCGACCCTGTTCAGCGTTTTTCTGGATCATTTTCGGGAGTTTCTGTTTCCCGATTTTCTCCAGATGAGCGGCGTGTTCATCGGGAACCGTGATCGTCTCGCTTTCATCGTCAAAGAACTCAAACCTGATCATTCCATCACCAAACTGGGTGGGTTCTTCGGAGATGTTCTTGTTGGCTTTTCGGATTTTCTCACCAATGGTGTCGGGTGCGGAGAGAGTGACCAGCAGACCCTTTGAAGCAAGAATCTTGCCGAGCCTCAACAAAGGATTAACATGGCCTTGGCCAGGATAGGAAACCAGGAAAATATGAGGAAGAACATTACAAATTTGGCCAACCATTTTCGCTGTTTGATTGCGAATAATACAATTTTATGAATTGATTGATGAACAAAAGAATTAACAGAGAAAGGAAAAAGAAGAATCTCGCAGAAAAAATACGCAAAAATGCAAAGCGAGCTTCTTGGCAATGGAGGTTCTGATTTTGGGCAACTCCTATTTATACTTGAATTTGTTTCGGCCTTGAAAATTGATTGGACATTTCGTGGACGAGATGGGGGAGAGTAAATTAGTAAAGGTTATGGTACGAAATGGGCCCTTTTGTCTATGTTTCGCTTCAGTGGCATCCCACGTGAATTGTGCAATGGGGCTTTCCAGGCAAAGTGGTTGGCCTATACTTCCAATTTTCAATCCCCTTCGATACTAACTACAGTACCATACAATCATTAGTGTCTTTCAGTTTTGGACTAATTTTGCTTTTGTAAAATATCACAAGTATAAATAATTTTGGAGTAGTGATTTTTTTCTTTTCTTTCCCGGAGGCAAATGCGTAAGGCCAAGCAAATTCACCAAAATACCATAAGAGTTGCTCGAACTTCTTAAGGAAAATGAGCATTCAAACTAATTGGTATTCCTTCTCTCCTAACATAATTATTTATCACTAGTTTGTTTTATCTCCTCTTTTAGTTGAATTAACAATAAAAATTTATCAAACAATTATTTTGTAACGGAAAGAATACATATCAGTCAAAAACCAAACAAGCTAGTCAAGGTTTGGAGGTGTGAAAGTTGAATTGAATGTTAAGAATTAGAGATTATAATGACGGCCGGTTTATATTCAATCCTTGGAAAAACATTAAGAAGACATTAAAATTTCATTCACACTTATAATAATGTGGTGGTATTTACAGGTGGGAAGGGGTGTGATGATTTTTTTTTTTTTGGATGATTGATGTCTTGGGTATTTTGTAGTATTCTATGATATATGTCACTATAGTAGTATATGGGAGTCTGGAGTGAACTTCCAACGCGGTGGTAAATTTGAATGACTGACCATGCCAATGGCTGCTTTTGGTTTATCCTTAGGTTAAAAAACAGCACATGTTATACATGGAAGAAGAAGCTAGAAGAGGAGGAAACTGCGTCACTACTAAAACTGATGATTCCAAATCCAGCCATTGAAGTCAAATGTCGTAGTTAGATCATTATCATCCTACCTGGCTAAATGTCATTATCAACCTACTAATCTTTCCTACTGAGCCTTAAAACAGTAAAAAAATAAAACATGCACGATTTTTTTAAATTGCAAATTGACCTCCAGCTAATTCAGTACTATCAATATTTATTTATCCTTTTATATACTACTAGTAATTGGCTGATTTCTAATTGGTAATTCACCCATTACGTAGGCTCACATCTTATGTGAAGTTGGAAATCTAGAGTGATGAACAACAAGGGCATTCGTCTCTCAGCAAACTTTGATTATACCCTGGGTAACGTATTATAGTAATATTGATTAGGGAGTGAGGCCAATCAAACTCAATGAAAAAAAATTGTAAAAGTTGAAAATAAAAACAGCCATCTGCTACGTACAATGATTTAATTTAATATATATGTATAAGAATAAAAACATTTTATACAACTGATATATCCAACAAACCAATGATAATAAAATAAATAAATTATTTTAAAAAAAAAAATTTGCCCCGTTGTTCATCCACTTCACCCTAATATGATGGACTCCCTCCAAAATTGTAAAGTTACACTGAATATTTACTCTATATGTAGCACCTCGAGCTTATTAATATAAGCATGTTTATCAACCTACTCGATTACGTTTTTTCTTTTTCTTTTTTTTTTTATAATAAAGGAGACTGTTGCCTAGAAAAGGAAACTCCTAGCTTAACAGATGGGAATTTCAACAAAGTCAAACCCCAACCAAGCAAGTGAACTAAGAACAAAAATAAGAAAACTATGAATAAAATTTATACAATAATACTTTGATCGCTTTAAAACTTGCTCCATAAATGCCTGAAACTTCGTCAAAGTCTTGTGATATCCGTAATCCAAACAAGTTACTCGATTATTGTCTTCAAAGATCGTGTAGATATTGCGACCGACTATACTATTTGCACAGGTTAATTATGACTTACCAATTAACATGTGATTAGCTAATTAAGTGATTAACATGTGAAGCCCACGTAGATGTGAGCTGTAGAGCGGAAATTTTATCTCTACCATTTTACTTTTATCTATTTAAGTAAGAGTATGTAAGGGAGGGGGAAGAAACCCTCGAGTCTTCTGTGAAGAAATCTATTTAGTTTGTCTTTATACACTAAGATAACTCATGATTCATGACCATGTTGGATTCGTTGAGTCCAATAGAAAGTTCGGAATCATAGAGGAAACAGGGGAAGAAAGGCAAAATATGTCCGTGGATGAATAAAAATGAAGAAAGTGCAGGGCACGTACATTTTGTTTTGAAGTGTGCATAATCTCGATTACTTGAGCTCAATGTATAAGAGGGATGGCGTGAATAGTGGAATTGTATCATCATGATCCTGTATGGAGTTTTGAATAACTAATAGTTTAATTAATGTTTAAGAACTATTAAAACCAAAGCAAAGCCTTCCCCATGTGGATGGATTCCAACAAAAGTACTACATTTACTTGATCCAAATCAATCATGGGTCACGTGGATACCTTTTCGCTTTGCAAAATGGATTCATTATTCATGACGACAAATTACAGAATCGATCCTTAGATCGTTTGTTTTCATTATTTGCTAGCTTCCTAGTAATAATAATACTAATATATAGTAGTGTACGTAATGTAATATAGTGCTTGAATTGTGGTTATATTTAAGAATTAACTATCAAGGCATGTTACCCTACGTATATACTCTTTTTTATGATACCTTTCTCAGTCTCCCGGCCACTCTGGTCTGCCTTTGCGGATAAACTAGCATGTGCATTGTGGGTTGCAATTTTGTATTTAGTTTGTTTCTTTTCTTATGGTTTTACTTTTACCATTACATGAGTATGTTTATCCACACACATTCTCACACACTCTCTCCATATATATATTTATATATTTCATTGCGCTTAAGAAAAATAATTCACTTTGTAATATTTTATCTGCCCAAAAAATACAAGTCAATATGAAATTTTTTATGTTTACATTAAAAATAACACAAATCTTAAAATTTAATGTGGATGATTTTCTTGGAATGATGGGAGTATTATTTTTCTTAGATGAATCGGGTAATAAAAAAGAAAGACCTACTTCAGTCTACCTACTTTCACAGTATCGTTGTTTAGGATGGAAGAATTGTTCAAGCATGTACCGAATAATTGTAACATATTAAATATTTTTGAATGATCGATATTCATTCGTTGTCTTTTTTAATAAAATAAAGAAATGATATAGTACGAGATTTATGATATACGGTACACAGCTATACAATTAACATAGCAGCTTGAAGGAATATTATTATATGTTTTAATAATTTACCCTGACTTCATTAATGATCAAAAAGATCCCTCTTAATTAATTTTAAGACACATTGAGGATTTCTTGATTCCGCTGGTGAAGCTTGCTTCCTGCGGAAATAACGCGATCATTAAGATGATGTTACAATTATTGATCGGACTTATTTCTGTTGAGGGATGATGATTCCAATCTTGTTCACACAAAGAAATAAATTTTATGACATCCTGAGAATATATTTTTCTAATTAACCCTTTTTTAATTAATAAGAATGCAGACGGGAAAGAGGGTTAAATAACTTAATTCAGGTTAATGAATGAACAATGATTAATTTTAATTAGAATCCATAACAAACGACAATTCCCCAATCTCCCGGGGTCTAATTGTTAGGTGAGGAACATAAATTTTGTTTGACTACAGAAACAATTTTAAAAATCCTATGACAAGCAAGGGGAAATAAAAAAATTTACCTGACTGCTCTCAATCATGTGGCAAGCTGATTCAATGATCAATGCCAATTGGGCTATTGAATCGACGACAACCTGGAAGCCAAGAAAAATTCAACGTGTGAACATGATAGACATTAAAAATGTACACCTCTGCAACTGCAAAATGATGAAACAATGTTGAAGGTTACCAATCAATGTAAGAGTATGATGATGGCATATGCATTTACATTCATTTATTGTACGTTTATTCACAAGGTTATCATTTCATGGACATCGTAAATGGACGACAAAATTGGTTGCCATACTGCTTTCTTGTTAGCATCATCTGGTGTAAGCTTTATATGGTTATATAAGAAGATGGGAAGTGATGGTGAGGCCATTCCCTTAATTAATCTTTGTGGTTCCACACCTTCGTATGTTGGAGTATATATGCTACCTTGAAGCATTTTATCCATCGTCCCAGCTACCTAATTTAATTAAAGACCATATAAAGGGCATCAAAACAGGTGGATTGAGTTTGGCTGGCAACTTCAATTTTTTTTTTTAACCTGTATTGTAAGACCTTCTGTTTGGTACTTTCATTAGTTGCCTTTAATGATGTGAATAATGTAAAGTATTATGTACTCATTTTGTATAGTATCCCAAAACTGATAGCATTGAGTACTATTTCTCGAGCTATACTTTAATTGTTTTGACAAACATGGTTAGTATTTTGAAATAGTACTATAGACGAAGGAAGTAACTTACAAATGGTCGATCATATGTAAACATCTAGGGATGAAACTTTCTTGTGCATATAAAACATAGACGATCGACGTGATCTACTAATAACGTGATTTGGAAACGATAGATTAGTACTAACGAATTTTAGGAAGTTACTGGACTAAATCATACTAGATACTAGAGAGCTTTCGATTCCAACAATATTGTGGAAACTCCTTCCCCATGGCCAGCTTTATGTGTTTGTATATATTTCATATGAAACATGAGATTTTGGAAATGTAAATAAGAAAAAATAGAAGAAAACAAGTATTGGGTGGGAAGAAGGGATTGATTCTTCTACCCTTGAGTAAATCATTCTTACAAAAATGGTACTATGTAATTGTGAGCCTGTTAAATGAAAAAGTACTATTATTTGGGATTTACTTAATTTTTCAGGTATTATTAAAATCAACCAATTAATGATGGTAGGGGTCTGCAATGGAAATTATTGGATGGAATTGGTGTGACGTTACTTAGGGGGAGTTTGCTAAACCTCAAATCATCAGAGGCATGCATAAAAGTTTGAAACCATGATAGATTGTCCACAGAATTCTGGATGGTTCCTGCATGCATGATGAAGCTTGATCGTATCTGCTCCCCCCGAAAAAATGGAAACAACCCACGTGAGATTTGATTTTCGTTGGCTCATTATATTGGGTTTCTTTTCTATTTATTACTATTTTTTTCCAAAATAATAATTTGTATTGAATTTTCAAATTTTATAATGTTTTCAATATAAATTTTGAATTGAATGTAAATTATTTTTTGGATACGGGCGCTTCAGTGGCTAATCAACATTTCCAGTCATTCAGTGATTTGACATTAGGTTTTTGTTTTTTCCAGACGTCTTTAGCCCAGTGATGAGTGTGGGACGATAACTTCGATCGGTTTATCTGTTTGGTTTGGTCCTTGGCTTGGTCCTTGGCTTGGTCCTTGATGATGATTCCTTACGTGTAGTCCCTTCATTTTTTAACCTCTTAATTACATAGTTTAATTTCAATTCACAATATCATATAAATAAATCCGGGATTGAGATTATGAAAAGTACTGCTAATTAAAAGCCTAAAGCAGATTTTTGTTTCTTGAACTCAAATTGTATATGTTGTTATAAAGCAGTCCAGTGTTAACGTTTTTTGTTGCAGGAGTTTGTTTCTTTTTTTCATTGTTTTGCATGAGCAAAACTAAAAGTTTCTTTTTTCCATATTTGATCTATTCTATTTGTTTTGAATTCATTTTTAATTTTATAAAAATAAAATTTTAAACATGACAACTATTTTTAAGACATGATTAAGGGTGTGTGTTATCGTGGCTGCATATATATAAGCCCCCTACCCGCGGTTTTAATTTCACCATTTGGGACTAATTGCGTGTAATCATAACCTAACCTGTAACATCTTACACGATATCTAACTCTCCCGCACAATTCGCAACCACGCAAATCCCCATTGTAGTACTTTGATGGATTGTCCCCAACTTGAAATCTTTAGGGAAAGATCGTCTTTGTGCATGTGTTATCATTTTCTTTCTGATGTAATTAGCTGCTACTCTACTGACCTAAGTTATTAATTATCATAACCTAATAGAGTTAGTGGTCATCTTTAATTGGATACGTGGTCCTATTAATTCAATTGACCGCTCGACGACCTTCAATAATATTAACATTTTGGTTTGGCCGCCTTTTTATATATATATATATGGGTGCCAATTGTTTTTTGCCTGCCCTCTATAATTGGAATTTGATTTTGGCCCACAAATTAACTCGTTCCTCAAGTAGATCACCAGCACTAAAAGGTTATATCTGGACGAGTCCCACCCCCATAAGGCTGCTAACCGCTATTGAGTGTTTTTAAAAAAAAAAAAAAAAAAAAATTTATTTATTTATTTGGTGAACCCCATTTTCTTAAAAGAAATAATGGTTTTGGACCTTCTGGTGCTGGGTTGCAGAAGTTCTTTGTTCATAATTGAGCTAGGTTGTTCAGGCTATTTCAAACGGATTTTTATTATTTATTTTTGGGAATGTTTTTTCAATTAAGAGAAAGTAATTTGGTACTCGATACAGATGTCGAGTTTCAAAAAGTACTGGTCAATATATCTTTTTTGAAATAAAATAAATAAAAAATAATTGTTGTTCTTCAGATTGTATACCACAAATTCCGAATATAGTGTATTTGGAAATGTGATGTGACTATATCCATTGGCAGAGTGAATGCCTGGATGTCTAGTTTCCATATATCTGGGAATTTTTTTTATTGTAAAATACCATAACCATACAGAAAACCTGAAGTGATATTAAATTAATACATAAAATCTTTAGTGGTGAAATCGTGCGACTGCTTTATTTCTAATAAGCAGGAAAATACGTAGGGTATGGAAAGAAAATAATTCGTACCCTACCTTTGCATATTGCAAAATAAGAGCCCACCAATTCACAGGTCTTAAGATATTATGCGGTTTTGTGGTTCAATAATAAAATAAGCTCATTTCTTCCCTTTATTACATCCTAATTTACAAACTACACGTGCTCATGTAATAATATGTGTAGAACAGGTTTAAACATATCTTCCACAAAAAAAAAAAAAAAATAGTTGTATTTATTAAACAAAAATAGTACTCTCTCCGTCCCAAAATTATTGTCCAGTTTGAGATTTCACATTTAGTATAATTTGAACTAAAAATGAAAACTCAAAGTGGACAATAATTTTAGAACAAAGGCAGTATAATAAACCATTAAGATTCTTTTGCTAGTGGCGGTCATGGCGGAGGAAGGAGAAAAGATACAAATTGGTAATGAAGATCACAATTTTTATGAGATTCATAGGTCTTGAAACAAGTGGTAGCAGAAAACAGATTCATTACACAAAACAGCAGGAGATCAAAATTCAAAACAAACTTGAATGCTAGCTTGTAAATTGGTAGACTGAAAGCTTGAAAATTGCCTTTATCAGGCCTTTTAAAGTTTAAACAAGAGAATCATCGGCTTTTAACGCAATCAGGGAAGGAAATCCTAATTGGGCCTCGCAACAACATTCCCATAAGTAAAACCGATTGCGATAGTAGTCAGTTGTTGTAGAAACAAAATCGTCAAGCTGCCAATTCACAGAAATCGCTGGCCCAACTTGTCTTCAACATCACCCATTACTATCCATTTAGCAGTAACAATTTATTCATGATTTAGTTTGATTGGTAAGCTTAGATACTTGCGCATATGCAATTTCTTGAATAGAATCAGAGATCTCAAATCCAATTAAATAAATAATGAAAATGGAATGTACATTACAAAACGATTTGACATCTAAGATACTAAAGTAATCTACAGACGTAATTCATTATTTGAAGAATCAAATTAATGATAATTGGCTACTCGTTCTGCTTGGTTTTCAAATCATGGGAACGCCAATTGCGAGTTCGTTCAGGAAATCCAGCAGATTGGAAGTGGAGGAGCCACCTTCTGACACAGCCTCTTCCGCTGCCTTCTTATATTTCATTGCGTTCTGTTTCATCTCTGCAGCCTTGGGACCGGTTGTGGCTTCAATCAACCGCTCTGCGATTTCATCTCTGGGAATGACTCTCTTTTCGAAGTCACCTCTCGACAATCTTAGCCCAACCTTAAAGACATCCACCAGATACTTAGCATCAGTCACCTGATCACCTAAATCTGGGAAAGTCAACACTGGACATCCTGAGGAAAGTGTTTCCATTGTTGAGTTCCATCCGCAATGAGTCACGAAACAGGCCACCGAAGGATGAACCAAAACTTGTTGCTGGTTGCTCCACTGCACAATTCTGCCATTATCACCAACTGCCTCCAAGAAACCTTCTGGGAGCTCAGCCTGGGGAGGCCTCATCACCCACAGGAATGATACTCCTGAATCCAATAGCCCATAGGCAATTTCATTCACCTGTTCTTGGCTCAATGTGACCACGCTTCCAAATGATATGTACACCACAGAGGATGCTGGTTTTGAGTCGAGCCATTCAGTGCAATCATCGGCGGAGTAGACACTAACATCCACTTTGGCTGACCCTGCAGATTTCTCGGTAGGATATCTAAAGAGGGGACCAATTGGTTTGATGGGGCAGAGCTTTGACATGTAATTGATTTCCTCATTTTCCAGCTCCTGGAACGACTCCATCAGTACACAGCAGTTCTTGTCCAAGTGCTTGAACATTCCCAAGATTGAATCGGTGATAGAAGGGTACTGTGTCCAAGGATGCAAGAAGCTGGGGATTTCATCATACTTCAAAAGTGGCATACAGGGCAACTGAACGTCCAATTCAGGTTGGGATTCAGTGGGGAACTGAACGAGTTTGTGGTAATAATGGTAATAAGCTGAGAAGCAGGCGGCAGACTGAACCCACAACGGAGCAGAAGGGATTCGAAGAGACTCGCCTACTTCAGCAACCCAAGGAATGAAGCAGCTGTAAATCAGGCAGCAAACAGGGCGACCCTGTTCGGCATTTTTCTGAAGCATTATTGGGACCTTCTGCTTCCCAATTTTCTCAAGATGTGCTGCGTGCTCATCCGGAACCGTGATATGCTGGCTTTCATCGTCAAAGAACTCAAATCGGATCATTCCATCGCCATAGGGAGTGGGCTCTTCGGAAATGCTTTTGTTGGATTTTCGGATTTTGTCACCAATGGTGTTTGGTGCAGAGAGCGTGACCAGCAGGCCCTTGGAAGCAAGAATCTTGCCAATCCTGAGAAGAGGATTAACATGGCCTTGAGCAGGATAAGAGACTAAGAAGATGTGAGGAAGAACAATTCGGTTGCTGATTGGTCCAGGCATTCTTACTGATTCTTTTTGAGTTGATGAAAGAAGATAGAAGTTGTAGAAAAACGGAAATAAAAGAATACTTTGATTTCTGAAAGGCTCGCAAAGACAGAAATGATGTTCGATATGCTGTTGTCTGAGCGAGCTTCAGATGTGTTTGTGAATGGAGAATGAAGGGTCTGATATTAGGCCAGCCTATTTATAGTAGTTGGTTTCTTTTCTTTTTTTTTTTATTTTTTTTTTCTGTGCAAGAATTAAATTCAATTCAAAAAAGCGGAGAGTTGGCATGAAAAAACCAACGACTTGTACTAAAATAATAATGGAGCGCGTGGAAATCAAAGGATAGACTCAAAATATCATCAGGGCAATGGTACCTACAGACTAAACAAATTGGCTTCCTCAATCATTGACAATGACCCATAATTGGCTTCTTTTAATTTTAATCACAAATATATGTATATTTGTAGTTGGTTTAAGAATTAAAGTAAAGAGAGAAAAAACCAAAGGTTGTTTTCACTTGTAAATAATTACATATGGTGGGTTTTTCTCTCCATCTCTCTCTCTCTCTCTCTCTTTTCATTTTCAAGCTCAAAAAAAATGGTAACGAAACCTATTTTGACGGCATTTGATTTGTATGGTTGTTCTTTCTAGTCAACACTGAGAAACCTAACTGCTGCGGTCAAATTGAATACCGGCTACGGGCTACCGTGTGAACTAGTTGTCTCCCCTCCCCCAGCGACCCAGTCCTTAGTCACCAGTCAGTTCACATTACTATTCACGTGGTTTATTCTTCATTTCTTTTAACCTTTCTTTTTTCACTCGTATACTTATCTTGTACTAACTATCTGCGACACGTTTGTTTGCTTTGAATGATTTTAGCTCCTTTGCTTTGAATGGTAGCACATAAAAATAGTTATAACAAATAAAATTTAATTTTTCTTCCTTTTTCGCAAGACACTGGCATGGTAGTGACTTTCAGGGATCAAACCTTACCGGAAAAATAAAAATAAATCAACCCTAATTCCATCTATTTATTATTTAATAATTTCTAACCTTACTTCAATACAGTATCGGGTTCGTTGTCTTGATATTTAAGCGAGAATCCGTATATGTAACTTTCAAAACACCTTGTATGATACAAAGGTAATAATAATCAGGAATCCGTATGCAAACTGTCTAGTAAAAGTGTAAAACAAAACTACAAGTTAATTAATTGAGAGATTATTCTTGGTGGAAGTCATAAATTGCGATTAGTCTGCTAAAACCATCCAGGCTGGAACTTAATTGGAGTTCAGATATATTACGGCAATGATTCAACTGGCTCATGATACATACGTAGTGTTGTTGTTAGTAGATCATGACACATCAATTTCTACCCATTCTCTAAGCATGGACTTGTTTTTTAATTGGTCCGTTGACTTCCAGGTCCTGCTGATCTTGCATTAAGGTAAGTTGTTTCCTTTGAAACTTTCTTGCAATATCATCCACTTGCATGTACTTATACGATAATTTACGACGTTCAGTTGTTCTAGCATAACGTAAAATTACATCATGTGATTGTGACATATTCAATAGAAATTTACAACTTTTAGTTATGTAAAATTATTTCCTACATATCTTTCGCTATGGGATTTCTAGTTCAAAGATTTAAAAAAAGGTCAATACGAGAAGGTGAATGTTCTTCGAGAGAAATCAACAGACGGCGAATAAACCAGTCAAATCCTTGAATTGAAAGTTCTTATCTCAAGGTCAATACCTCATTATGCGTTTGAGATGGTAATTATGCCTAATTAGAATGATCTGTAAATTAAGTTCATTCAAATAGCAAACATTGGGTTGGATGTTGATATCCGACTCTTAAGAATAGTGATGCGTTAGCTTAATTAAAATGAAATGATTGATGTGGAAACTACTATTTTTTTTTATATTACGTACCGGTATCTGAAGTCATTGTTCCGAAATTAGGTAAGCCTTAATATTTTGATCAATATTATATATCTATATCTGAATTTGAATCCTGGTCATAATTAAATTGACTCAAGACCTTTATCACTTGAACCAAGTATTTTTTGCTAGTATTGTAAAAATCACTATTAATTCTACTATTAGGAAAGTTAAATCTAATAACAGATATATACATTATTTAGGCTTACCACGCATTATTAGTCCAATAACTTCACTAAAATTAAGAAATATCGTAATTTAATTAAATCATTTGAATATAGTTTATTAAAAACACAAAACCAGAAGAATTATCAATGACCTTTCCAACTCCGTTTGCAATGGCGAATGCAACTAGGAAGTAGGAACAATGTAACATCTAATGGAAAAAGGAAAAAAGGAGGGGGAAAAAAAAGCCCTAACAAACCACACTATTCCATCAACAGTTTGCATACAATAAGTAACTATATGTCTTCTTGTACTCCCTCCGTCCCATAATTATTGTCCAGTTTTACTAAAATGAAAGATTTTATTTTTGGTCAAACTTAATTATATTTTACGTTAAACAACCGGATATACCCCTACATAAGTAATTATTTAACCACTAAGATTTCATGGGTAATATGTTTTACTAAGGACAAATGTGTAACTTGATCCATAAAAAGTCAAATTGGATAATAATTCTGGGACAAAATTTTTTGGGCAAAGTGGACAATAATTATGGGACGGAGGGAGTATAATTTATATATCATTCATTGTTACACCATAATTATTTATATGTATAATCAGATCCTTGCAAAAACTATCTGTAAGTTGTTGGTACACAAAATGAAATATCTCGTACATTCAATAGCAATAATTACATTGAAGAATATAGTTCATCATTCGTTTATTCAATTTGTTAATTTCTTAAATTAATCGCTTGAAATCTTGTGCCTGTTATTTGGTATACAAAAAAATAGGATTTGCATGCTCCCGCGAATCCATGATCATATCTGCATGCTCATTTTTATAATGGTAATGCATATGGCAAGACAATCCTAAATTGATTCCGTTTTTTTTGCTGGTCAACCAAATTGGTTTAAGTAGGTGATGAAAGGGGATCAAGATTTTATATGTATCCATTTGTGTCATCGTGTGTAATTAGTGGCTTCAAACTTGAATGCTTCGTGCTTGCATATGGTTTAGAAATAAGTCTAAAGAGTAGATATCATATTCTTGTAAAATGATTTGAGTCTATATTTTAGTGGTTCAATGATCATTTAGATAAAGTGAGTCTATTGGTGTGTAAAAACTTCTATTGCTCCTTCACTATATTAGAAAAAGAGTCCAATATGGACATTCATTGATTAATTTAGTGGAATACAAATTTACACACAAATGAAGTGACATTTAGGCACGCTTTGGATTGGATAACACAATTTAATTATTGTGTAAGAAATAAAGGACAAAACTGTTGGGTTATTGTAACTCATGTTACTGGTTAATGGTCAATGGCAAGCTGCAGTGCTTCCCTTCACAGGTTCCTCTTTGGTTTTTACATCATGGGAACGCCAATTGCGAGCTCGTTAAGGAAATCAAGCAGATTCGAAGTGGAGGAGCCACCTTCTGAGACAGCCTCTTCCGCGGCCTTCTTATATTTCATTGCGTTCTGTTTCATTTCTGCAGCCTTGGGACCGGTTGTGGCTTCAATCAACCGCTCTGCTATTTCATCTCTGGGAATGACTCTCTTTTCAAAGTCCCCTCTTGACAATCTTAGCCCAACCTTAAAGACATCCACTAAGTATTTAGCATCAGTCACCTGATCACCTAAATCTGGGAAAGTCAACACCGGACATCCAGAGGAAAGTGTCTCCAGTGTTGAGTTCCAACCGCAGTGAGTAACGAAACAGGCCACCGAAGGATGTGCAAGGACTTGTTGCTGGTTGCTCCATTGCACAATTCTGCCATTATCACCAACCTTCTCCATGAACCCTTCGGGAAGCTCAGCCTGAGGAGGCCTCATCACCCACAAGAATGATACCCCGGAATCCAGTAGCCCATAGGCAATTTCATTCACCTGTTCTTGGCTCAATGTGACCACGCTTCCAAATGATATGTACACCACAGAGGATGCTGGTTTTGAGTCGAGCCATTCAGTGCAATCATCGGCGGAGTAGACGCTGACATCCACTTTAGCTGATTTTGCAGCTTTTTCAGTAGGATATCTAAACAGGGGACCAATTGGCTTGATGGGGCAGAGCTTTGACATGTAATTGATTTCGTCGTTTTCGAGTTCCTGGAACGACTCCATCAGTACACAGAAATTCTTGTCCAGGTGCTTGAACATTCCCAATATCGAATCGGTGATGGAAGGGTACTGTGTCCAAGGATGCAAGAAGCTGGGAATTTCATCATATTTCAAAAGTGGCATACAGGGCAACTGGACGTCCAATTCAGGTTGGGATTCAGTGGGGAACTGAACGAGTTTGTGGTAGTAATGGTAATAAGCTGAGAAGCAGGCAGCAGACTGAACCCACAATGGAGCAGAAGGGATTCGGAGGGAGTGGCCTACTTCTGCAACCCAAGGAATGAAGCAGCTGTAAATTAGGCAACAAACAGGGCGACCCTGTTCTGCATTTTTCTGAAGCATTATTGGGAGCTTCTGCTTCCCAATTTTTTCGAGATGTGCGGCGTGCTCATCAGGGACGGTGATATGCTGGCTTTCATCGTCAAAGAACTCGAATCGGATCATTCCATCGCCATATGGAGTGGGTTCTTCTGAAATGCTTTTGTTGGATTTTCGAATTTTGTCACCAATGGTGTTTGGTGCAGAGAGAGTGACCAGCAGACCCTTGGAAGCAAGAATCTTTCCGATTCTAAGAAGGGGATTAACATGGCCTTGAGCAGGATAAGAAACTAAGAAAATGTGAGGAAGAACAATACGGTTGCAGATTGGACCAGGCATATTTGCTGATTTTTTATGGCGAGGATTGAAAGAATTGAAGGAAAGGCTAGCTCAGTTAAGCGCAACAAAGGCGATGCGATGCTGTGCTTGAATGAGCTGTTTAGGTTTGTTTGTGAAAGAATGAAAGAATGAATGATGCTCTGAATTTGATTTCGGTTCCTTCCAATTTATAGTAGAACACTTCTCTTGTAGGAATGAATTTCAAAGAAGTGATGGGCAGGCAGGAAAAAGACAACGACTTGTGCTGTAATAATAATGGACGCGTGGAAATGCAAGGATGGACTAAAAACATTGACACGGATTGATTTTTTAAAAATCTTTTCCTGGTACAGAATGGTCTCTTCAACTACAAACAGGGACCAACTATTGGGTCCCCATGGGTTTTCATTATCAATTTTATACTACTAATCTGTTTTAAAAACTAAAATGCTAAAATTAAATAATTACTCCAAATACTGTACATTCCAATGAGGCTTTGAGCTTGGGCTTGATATCTAAAAATTTTGTGGGATTAAGTGAATAATAATGAATTAGCAATGGTATCGGATCTTCTATGACATTTAGTGAAGAACAACAACCGGTAAAATTTTGAAACACGATGTAAATTAGTGCAAAGTTAGCGAGGCTTGATTAAGGCTAATGGGAATGCTTCATTTCCAGGGACAAAAAAAAAAGTGGGATTACATGAGCTTTATATTTATCCAAATACTACTCAATCATTAGCGCCATTCATTTGATGGTATTACTACTTCTCAAAAATTCAATTGCCTTTTCGTTTTCAGGTTTCTAAATTAGAAATGGTGACTCTGACTTGATTTATGACGTCTTACATTTCGGATATTTATGTTTTCCCCTATCAGAGTCAACGCTGAGGGAAGCGAGAAATATGACTTACAGAGAGTGTGGTTAGGGTCATGGGACCTGCCGCGTGGTCAAATTGCCTTCCGTGTGAACTGCCCTAGTATTTCACACGATTATTTAATCATTTCAGTTTTTTTTTCCCAGTACAATAATTTATTCAGTGTTACTACTTATACGACTAGTTCAGACTGTAGATTGGTTGATTTCTTTCCATAGGTAATTAATTGGTACAGTACTCTCAAAAAAGTACAACTTCCGTCTCAAAAAAATAAAAATAATTTACATTGAATTTTCAAATTTGTACTAGTGTTCGTATAAATTTAAAAACTCAATGTAAACTATTCTTCTAGGACGTAGAGAGAGGAGTATTTGATTAAGACTTTCCTTTTCTTTTTTCGGGTAAGGTGGAACGAAAAACAAATTTTAGGTTTGTTTTGAAAGGTAAAAAAACTAACTGCTTACATGGAATTCAATGGCCATTCTAACATCCTACGTGTAAGTCAAACGTATCGATGACAGATCAAACATCCAACATGGAATCCTCACAATATGGCAGCTAAAATATAGTACGTAGAATCATTGCGAGTGGAAGTCATAATGTGGAATTAGTCCGTTAAAAATGACTATAAGATCATCCAGGCTGCAAATAGGGAGTGAATTCTACTGTGTTAGTGATTAGTTAGTGCAGTGATCTCATGGGTGACGTTGGCAAATCTAATATTTCTTCTACCCATTCTCAAACCATGCACATGCTATTTTTATTCCTAAATCCTTAAGTTTGAACTTTGACGTCCAGCTCAAAGCTAGCTAATCTAATCATGCATCGGGGTAACTTTTTGTCGTTGAAATTTCAAGCACAACGAAGTGAACGAACCACTAGTACTAATTCTATTTGTAAAATACACCTTGATAAATGATAATTATTACTGTCTCAATCCTAAATAAAGTAAATTATTCTATTATATTGTTTACAACCATAACAGAGTAAATAATTTTTCTAATACGGTAAATACCTTTTATTTGTCAGTTGTCACGTCTTTTACTGAGTTAGACGATTGCTTAACTCATCCAAATATTTTTAATCATTCATTTTTGTTTATTTATTAATCGGTCACTGAGTTTTGCTCATATTATAGATTTAGGATACTACTCTATTTAATAAACTCAATTTCGATGACTGATCTGTGAATCCGAGATGATGATCTTCCCGTTACTTCCCAGTAGTATTTCTACCATATATATATTAAAATGGTAATGCGAAGTGAAACCCAAACAAACTTTGATGCCACGATACAGTATCCCAATATTCCCGGGTCAACTATGAGTTTGGCTAACTGATTACTGCACGCAACAGATTAATTTGCTGGTTTAATCATGTGCATGCAGATCAACTTAACTGTTAACTGCACATAATCAACTTAACTGATGGAATCATCTATGCCAACTTGCCGAGGGCCAACCTACGAAGAAGAACATGAAAAATTGAAACCTAGATAACAAAATTCCGTGCGGGTCAAAAACACATCACTTGCGAGACGATAGAAATGTATCCGACCTTTTATTTTTATTATTATATTTAACGATGTCTCATTTAAATGAAATACACCGATCAATTTTCTACAAGAACTCGTTTAGTAAGCCGTTAGTTAGAAGGGGCATAATCTAAAAAATATTTAATTGGCAATTTATCATGCATTTCTGAGAGTTTAGATGCTTTTTTTTTTTAATGTGTTATGAAGTTAATAGTAATTTCAGACCGGATAAAATGTTTCTTTATCCTCGTTTATGCCTGTTGGGCTCTTACATGTTTTGCTTTGCGATCAGTCATAAGAATTTACAACCAGATATATCCCAAAGACTTTTAAATAATGTGGACGAATTGATTAATGGCTTTAGTGAAATACTACAATACATACGTATTAAGAAGAACCTCTTTTTATTATTATTAATTAAAAGCTATATACTCTATTACAAAGTTAATGTGAAGAAAAAAAATGTAACAAATGATGGACCCTGCTCTAGTCCGAACAAACGAACAAATAAGGTTATGTAACTAATGTTAATGGTCAAGGGGGGAACTCGTAATGCTTCACTTCACACCTTCATCTTCTATTTCATGGGAACGCCAACGGCGAGCTCGTTAAGGAAATCAAGCAGATTGGAGGTGGAGGAGCCACCTTCTGAAACTGCCTCTTCCGCCGCCTTCTTATACTTCATTGCGTTCTGTTTCATCTCGGCGGCCATTGGACCGATGGTGGCCTCAATCAACCGCTCTGAGATTTCATCTCTGGGAATGACTCTCTTTTCGAAATCCCCTCTTGACAATCTTAGCCCAACCTTAAAGACATCGACCAGATACTTAGCATCAGTGACCTGATCACCTAAATCTGGGAAAGTCAACACCGGGCATCCTGAGGAAAGTGTCTCCATGGTTGAGTTCCAACCACAGTGAGTCACGAAACAGGCCACCGAAGGATGTGCAAGGACTTGTTGCTGGTTGCTCCATTGTACCACTTTACCTTTGTCGCCCACTGCCTCCAAGAAACCTTCTGGGAGTTCTGCGTGTGGGGGTCTCATCACCCACAAGAATGATACCCCTGAATCCAATAGCCCATAAGCAAGCTCGTCCACCTGTTCTTGGCTCAGTACGACAACGCTTCCAAATGAAATGTAAACTACCGAGGAGGCTGGTTTTGAGTCGAGCCACTCCGTGCAATCATCGGCTGTGAATACACTGACATCCACTTTAGTTGAGCCCACAGTTTTCTCGGTAGGATATCTGAATAGGGGACCAATAGGCTTGATGGGGCAGAGCTTTGACATGTAATTGATTTCGTCGTTTTCGAGTTCCTGGAATGACTCCATCAATACACAGCAATTCTTGTCCAAGTGTTTGAACATACCCAAGATTGAATCGGTGATGGATGGGTACTGTGTCCAAGGATGCAGGAAACTTGGGATTTCATCATACTTCAACAGGGGCATATACGGCAACTGGACATCCAACTCAGGTTCTGATTCAGTTGGGAATTGAACCAGATTGTGATAGTAATGGTAATAAGCTGAGAAACAGGCAGCAGATTGAACCCATAAGGGAGCAGAAGGGATTCTAAGGGACTCCCCGACCTCAGCAACCCATGGGATAAAGCAACTGTAGATTAGGCAGCAAACAGGGCTGCCCTGTTCGGCGTGTTTCTGAAGCATTTTGGGGAGTTTCTGCTTCCCAATTTTCTCGAGATGCGCGGCGTGTTCATCTGGGACGGTGATGATCTCACTCTCGTCATCAAAGAACTCAAATCGGATCATTCCATCGCCATAGGGAGTGGATTCTTCGGAAATGCTTTTGTTGGATTTTCGGATTTTGTCACCAATGGTGTTTGGTGCGGAGAGGGTGACCAACAGGCCTTTGGAAGCAAGAATCTTGCCAATCCTGAGAAGAGGATTCACATGGCCTTGGGCAGGGTAAGAGACTAGGAAAATGTGAGGAAGAACAATGCGATTGCAGATTTGACCAACCATTTTTTTTTTCTATTTGCTGATTCTTGGAGTTAAATGAAATCAATGAAAGGTTGCAAAGGCAAAAGAGAAAAGCGTGCTTAGACTTAGAGAAGCGCAGCAATAGAAATGAAAAGCTGTGCTTTGCCTAAGCAAGCTTTAGTCACTGACTCACTATGGTTTTGATTGAATGAAGGAATGAATGAAAGATGTTTGTGAATCTGGATTTCGGTCCTCTATTTATAGTAGAATTCTTACTGGGATCACTTTCAAGGAAGTGGAGGTAGGAATGAAAAGCCAACAAGAGGGGGTAAAATGAACGCGTGGAGCTCAGAGGATTGACTAAAATATTACTAGTGCACACTGCACAAACCTACAGATTGATTACTGTGACAACTAACTACATTTGCAAGTTACTGTCGTATTTCTCACATATAACTATTTTTCTTACTATAGTCTACAGGCACGAAGGAAAGGAGTAGACTATACTAATATAGTTGGAAATTTAAACTTCATCATCACACCATTATCAAGGTGGTTCTTATGGAATTAACTTTCATTTCTTTGGTTAGCTATCACGTCCTGCTCTATGATCACAGCTTCATAGTTTGCAAGAAAATGAGTATACTTAAACTTCATAGTTATGGAGTACTGGAATTAACTATTTCTTTGGTTTCGGCTATCCTTTATCCAAGAAAATGAGGTTATAAAGCAAATATAATTGATATGCTTATATTTTACCTATTCAATATATCCTTAATTTGTCATTTTTGCAATATATTTTGAGTACAAATGTGCTATTTATGTGATTTTATCTTTAATTATAGGAATTGTACTCAAAATGAGGAATTGTTGAAATTATGGGCTAAAATAAAGATAAAAGCAACTCAAAGGGAGAATTGAAGATTTGATAAATTGACAAGGAAGAAATTGAAGTACTTGAAAAATTAGAGGATTAAACAAGTAATTTTAGAATTCTTGTTTATGGAAATTGGCCGAGAGCTGAAGGTTGTGCGGTTGAATTGGATAAGAATTTTAATCCCAATATTATTTGGGAAACAAGTTTTCTTCCTCTCCAAGAAGTAGAGTTTGACGGAAGCCTATAAAAGGAGGATTAGGGATCATCACCATTCCCGCACATTCCACGCATCATCACCATCTCAATCCATCATCATCACCCTTAATCACCATCATCATCCCACGCACCACCGAACCATAAACCACCAAACACATGCAGCACCATCCTCTTCAACACCAGCTCACCACCTAGCTTCCAGCTCATCACCACGCAGCAAACCAGCTCCAGCAATCTCCTGACCACGCACCACCACCGAAGCAGCCAGCAGCACTTCTCCTCCTTGCCGATCACCTCCACGCACCAGCAGAAGCCGAGGAAAAGAAGAGAAAGCAAGCAGCAGCCGTGGACTTCAACTCTTCAATTCGGCAGCCTTATTCTATTCTCGGGTTTTGGAGTTTTATTTATTTAATTCAGATTTTTTTGGATTATATCTCTAAATATTATTGAATTATTTTTAACAATGTTTAGTGGCTAAATTCTTTTAACCTAGGACTTGGATGTAGCCCCCGGATTTATTTGGTTTATTTGATTCATAATACTTTAATTTTTCCATTGATCAATATTTAATATTATTGCTTTTATTCCATGTTTGTAACTGGCCACTACTTGCGTGTTTAAAGATATTAATTGATGGAACGACAGTTGAAAATTAATATTAGTTCATGGAAATATTGGACTTAGGTAGTGAATCACGATAGTAGGAACACAACCTTTGCAACGTTAGATTCTTAAGTTCTTAATGTGCTCTAGTTATTTCCTATAGTCACGACAGTAGTCATAGGATTAATTAGAGTAAGAGAATTGTATCACAACGGTGAATAGTTCTTAATTAGGTGAGTCGTTGTGAGATTAATGGAAGTTAAAAGTCAGATATTTATAAATTGAACCAAACCAAATATTCGGTAGGTGAACCCAATGTCTTAGGTTTTCTTCGTCTGATTATTTGAATTAATATTATTTGCTTTTATTTTATTTATTTATTTTAGTTTTAAATTTTATAAATCTGATATCATCATTTATCTAGATAATAATAGAAGTAATTTATACCTGATAATTAGTATTCCTTCTTTGTGAGATCGACCATGCTTGATACTTTATTACTAGTAATTGTATTAAGTAGGTAATTATTATTTGACTAGTGTGACGACGGCTCGTCAATAATATCCTTAAATATTCATTGGAAACGTAAAGTTAAAAATACTAATAGTGTAAGGTACAGTGAATTACACAAGGTCCACCTGAATTAGTCTTTTCTTCATTTCCAATTCCATAAAATGGTGGTAAGTGTAAATTTTTTTTCAGTGAACGTGGCAAGTGTAATGAAGCAGTAGTAACTCGCATTAAGTGTCTTTGATTTTTGGATTATGTGTCTCCAAGTCAACACTCGAAACCTAACTATTACTACTGTGTACGCAAATGGACCTCGTGGGTCAAATTGGCTTGCGTGTTAACTGCTGGACTTCCTGGCCGTCCTTGTCAGTTTCATAACACATTACTACTATTCACGTAATCATACTTTTTTTTTAATTTTTTTAACTCATTTATGGGGAGAACACGGTTCTTTGAATAAGGGAAATAGAAGGGTAAAAAGGTAAAACCAAACTTTGGAGAATTCTTTATAGGATTGATTCGTACATTGCAATGCCTCAGTTAATTAACAACGATAAATTGCCATTGGTCGGTTAAATTGTCCAGGTTGGACAGTAGGATACAGATAAATATGGCAATGATTATTCATTATTAATTCAATTAGCTTTTTGTTCTTGTGTTGCTTCTTGCTAGTGATCCAAGTATCATATGGGAGTGATCTAATTGTAACCATCCACAGACCAAGCACATGTGATTCTCATTGGATTTCTTCATCTTCAACTCCAGCTAATCTTTTGCGTTGTAACTTGCTACAGTTGATTTTTTTTTCATGCATAACCAACCAACCACTTGCACGAAGGAGATAACATATTTTATGCACTCTCGGAACGTAAAATTCTGGAGTTTGATGCACTTTTTCTAATTTTGGCAAGAATTTATTTGATCCCTCGCCATTGTAAAAGTGAATACAAGTTGTATGAAAATAGGTTTTCGAGACATGGACAAACACATGTATATTAATTCTTACATCTGTCCAACTCCAACCCATTTTGCGTAATGGTACCAAGTGAGCATCAGAACTGCCCACTGATTTAATGTACATAATTATTTTCTACTAGCACAACCTAAACCCAAACAGTTGTACAGAGTTTATCGTATTTTCAATGTGTATTTTTAGATATTTTATCTAGTTAGTTTCTGAAAATATATATATATATATATTTAAAATATATAAAAAAAAAGTATGATGGGATGAGACATTTGTTAATAAAAAAATTATGAAAAAACAAATTAAAAAACCAACCGAACAGAAAATCTTTTGCCTAGAATCCGCTGTACAAGAATAGTGAGCATAACTCGCTGAAGTGTGTGCGATATACATAATTTTTCGTTAGAACATACTGCACAACCAATAATTATTCATTAATCTTTATTCTATTCGATTTCTTTGTTGATTTGATCACACGTACTTACGTTGTTAGGATTCGATGATCCTGTAAATCCGTGATCATATCTTTCACTCAATTCAATTGTATAAACAGTAATGCAAAGGGCATGCAAGGGTTCCCATTTTTCTCGGGTCAACTCATGTATTTGAGTGACACTTTTGCAGATGAAATGGCTCGATCATGTGCAGCTAATGGAATCATCTTTGCCCATATCTCTGCCAACCTGTCTATGATGAATGCACAACAAGAACATGAAGCCCAGATCACAAAAGTTATATCCAATAGCCCTAACATTTATTAATGCCGGTGTGATGATCGTATATTGTTTATGTTAGATCCAGAAATTTGGTACCCGATCATCATCATGCATGCAAAGTCTATAAATTTGGGACCAAGCAGTCATATTGATTTACTCATATAAGATACAAAAGTTTCCGGTAATTATGTAGTTCAAAGGTATGGAAAGTGTCAGAGTTTGAAAAACACATACACTCCTCCATTCCAAAATTTTGAATAGTTTAATTTATATTTTTAATTTTGCTATGATTTAAACTAAAATGAAATTCTAATTAGATAATCATTTGGGACAAAAAGAGTTTTTTTTTTCATGAAAATAAGTTAGTATTCTTTTTATTTCAAAATGATTATCTGATATATATGAGTGAAAATTCAAATCGAACAATCATTTCATAAGATTATAGGGACTAATATCCTCCTCTCTTATCAATTAAATGAATTCCTGGCAGCTTTCGTGGACATCTAAAGAGTAAAAGGGAACTCCAAATGATTTCACTTGCATATAAGGAGAAGTGATGTTAAACTTGAGACGAAGACAATAACACGTCATAGTTGAGTTGAGTAGGTAAATTATGGTTTTTGCTCTGAGACTGGTGGCGTACTAAATTTATGAGGATCTAAATTAATGGAATATTTAGATCAAGGATAATAATTTGGTAAGGAAAATTTATATGAAGTTTCAACAAAAAAATGAATTATATCAGTCAATACTTACACCTTATCTTTAAAAAATTATTTTAAAGTTAAAGGATAATCCCTTTTACCCTATTAAAGCAGAAGATATGAAACTTATGTGGCAACTAAGTATGCATCTGTTTTGGCTCCAATGCACCATATTTCAGATTTCAGGAGTCTTTTTGCCACGTGTAAGTTTCTTTTAATCCCTTTTACCCTATTAAAGCAGAAGATATGAAACTTATGTGGCAACTAAGTATGCATCTGTTTTGGCTCCAATGCACCATATTTCAGATTTCAGGAGTCTTTTTGCCACGTGTAAGTTTCTTTTAATTAGAAGTTATATAATTTTTTTTTTTAAAAAAAACACATGTTTTACTACAAATAAGGATCAGTTACATTTCAAACGAATGGATATATTAATTCAAATTCAAATGTCCAATCGTATAGTTTTGAGCTTAATATAAACAAAAATAAAAATACCTAAATCCAGCAATTAAGAATAATGCCTTATAAACTAATTATTTATTATTCCCTTATAACCTCATATTTATAGGTATATTTTTTTAAGCCCCAAATCATAGCATAAATGATATATACGCCAAATTAATTCCTCAAAAAATAGTAATTCAATTAGATTTTAATAAAATAGTAATTTAGAAGGGGCGCTCGGGCATCTGCCTGGGCCAAACATCTTGTTAAGATTTAACCATATTATTCTTTCTAGGTTTTCTTGTCAAAATTTCCCCGTGCATATGACCAGATCAAATATAGACAGAATAAAATAGACGAGATCACACTTGAATAAGAAGGAGACAAAATTGACCATGCATTTGGTTCACTAGATCGTTTGGGGTATATGTCCCTTAGATGTCCAAAATTCAAAATTGTTGGTCTTTTTTGGGCCTATCCTCAACAAATATAATTCCTGCTTTAAGAGGAAAATCACCCCTCACTGAAATAGTATGCCAATCATTTGGTGAGTTAAGTAGTTTTAATGTTTTAGGTGGCATTCTAGATGAATTAAAACAAGATTTTCAAACTTATATCATTATCTGACGAAGTGAACAAATTAGTTACTATTACCGAAGGTAAATATTGTACCATATCTCTTAAAAAAAGCTTATACTACCAGACTCTATGCAAAATGTGCAAAGACCTTACCAAACCAATTATTACATTTTTTTTTTTTTGTTTGTTTTTGTTTTTACTTTTTACCCATTAATGTTCCAACCTTCTTTTGCAATTTCTGAAGTTTGTATGTAGGATACATGTCGATCTTAAGGCAGTGTCTTTGTGGTTGGGGTTAAATTAGAACTTTCAGCCCACGAAAAAAGGTAAGCTATCATTTTGATGGAATGCTTGAACCAGCCACTTGGCGCCTACTTCACTCTCATACTTCTTTTATCATAGCCCTTAAAGCTGAAGGGTAAAACATGTGGTCCAGAGGGGGAATAGTAGTACGTTTTCGCTTTCGGGGTCGATTCCGAGTATAAAGCCCAAACTACAGACGAATTTATCTTGTATCACTCGTTCCCCAAGCAAAACGACATCATAAATGTGTGGGAGACGCCGGAGTACGGTGCCTCACTTGTTTTGGAACCAGTTCCTGCGGTCATTACTAACTCTAAATGTATCCATGATAACACATTCTTCTTCCATCCCATAATAAAACTTATAGTCGTTGATTATTTGACTTCAACTGAAAGTCTGAAATGATTATTATTTGAAAAGTATAGAAAGTAATACTCCTCTCTGTCCCAAAATTATTGTCTAATTTGAGATTTCATTCTTAGTACAATTTGAACTAGAAATAAAAAACGAAACTGGACAATAATTATGGAACAGAAGGAGTAGTATCTTTGATTAATGTTTCATGCTTGTACAGATTTTAGAGGGTAATGTTTGTTGTCCGGCATATGGAGGAGAGGACTTTGAAATTATATGGACATTGCATTACTAAAGTGAATCCGAATTTACTTACATACAAAAGATAAAGAAAAGAGAAATGAATAGACATACACAAGTGAATAATGAGACGAAGTCAATGATGGAGTAATTAATAAACTTGTGTTAATTACTGGTCAATATGGCGAGCTGCAATATTCATCTTTATCTATTTCATGGGAACGCCAATTGCGAGCTCGTTTAGGAAATCAAGCAGATTAGAAGTGGAGGAGCCACCTTCTGAGACAGCCTCTGCCGCTGCCTTCTTATATTTCATTGCGTTCTGTTTCATCTCTGCGGCCTTAGGACAGATTGTGGCTTCAATCAACCGTTCTGCGATTTCATTTCTGGGGATAATTCTTTTGTCAAAGTCACCCCTTGACAGTCTAAGCCCAACTTTGAACACGTCCACCAGGTACTTGGCATCAGTCACCTGATCCCCCATGCTTGGAAAAGTCAACACCGGACATCCTGAAGAAAGCGTCTCCATTGTTGAGTTCCATCCACAATGAGTCACAAAACAAGCCACCGATGGATGTGCCAGCACTTGCTGCTGGTTGCTCCACTGCACTATTTTGCCATTATCACCAACCTTCTCCATGAATCCTTCGGGAAGTTCAGCCTGAGGAGGCCTCATCACCCACAAGAATGATACCCCTGAATCCAATAGTCCATAGGCAAGCTCATCCACCTGTTCTTGGCTCAAGATGACGACACTGCCAAATGATATGTACACAACTGAGGAGGCTGGTTTTGAGTCGAGCCACTCGGTACAATCATCTGCGGAGTAGACACTAACATCCACTTTTGCCGACTCTGTAGATTTCTCGGTGGGATATTTAAACAGGGGACCAATTGGCTTGATGGGGCAGAGCTTTGACATGTAATTGATTTCCTCATTTTCCAGCTCCTGGAACGATTCCATCAGTACGCAGGCATTCTTGTCCAGATGTTTGAACATACCCAAGATCGATTCGGTGATGGATGGATACTGAGTGTTAGGATGCAAGAAGCTGGGAATTTCATCATATTTCAACAGTGGCATACAGGGCAATTGGACATCCAATTCAGGTTGGGATTCAGTGGGGAATTGAACGAGTTTGTGGTAGCAATGGTAATACGCTGAAAAGCAGGCGGCAGACTGAACCCACAATGGAGCAGAAGGGATTCGAAGAGACTCGCCTACTTCAGCAACCCAAGGAATGAAGCAGCTGTAAATCAAGCAGCAAACAGGGCGGCCCTGTTCGGCGTTTTTCTGAAGCATTATTGGGAGCTTCTGCTTCCCAATTTTCTCGAGATGTGCGGCGTGCTCATCCGGAACCGTGATATGCTGGCTTTCATCGTCAAAGAACTCAAATCGGATCATTCCATCACCAAATGGGGTGGGTTCTTCGGAGATATTCTTATTAGATTTCCGAATTTTTTCACCAATGGTGTCTGGTGCAGAGAGAGTGACCAACAGGCCTTTGGCAGCAAGAATCTTGCCAATCCTAAGAAGAGGATTAACATGGCCTTGGGCTGGGTAAGAGACTAAGAAAATATGAGGGAGAACAATGCGGTTGCTGATTTGGCCAACCATTTTAATTTGCTAATTCTTGGAGTTAGGTTAAAATGAAGATTGAAGAGACCAAAGAAAACCACCAGGGCTATTTGAGAAGCTCGCAATGTGACAGAAATACTTCTTTCTATTATTCTGTGGTGAACTAATTGATGCTCTGAGACTGATGGATGCTGTTCTATTTATACTAGTTGATATCTTCACCAGTTTTTTTAAAAAAATAAATAAAATCAATTGAAAATAGCGTGGCTCCTACTTAAAAAATTAATGAACGCGTGGAAATCCATTATAGGATGGACTGGAATGTTGTAGGCTGTAATGTATCACTGTAGTGTTCACAGATTTCTGGCCCCATCGAATATGCATGTTTTAATCTTTTTTTTTTAAGTGAAAATTAATAACGTATCTAATATACATAAATATAAACTAACGCAATACTAACTACTCAGTCTAAAAGATATAATTTAATTTGTCATATAAAATAATACAATAAAGTCGACTGTTTTTTTTTTAAGATATAAAAAATAACTAGTAGTATATAATTGTTGTAGGAACAAACACTGACATACAAAAGTGTGAATCAAAAGCCTCAGCCGTATTTGTAATTTGACTCTGGGTTTTCCATTTTCTTATAGTTAGTTCATTTTCACAAGAAGCTGGCATATATTCTATATTATTAATAACACATCAATCATTACATAACTTAAATCGTTGAAAAGCAATACTAATAATTGAGTGTCTTCTTTTATTTTCAGAGTTTTCGGAAAAAGGTAATTGACATAGTAAATGCAACTATATTTGATTTGGTACTAGTATTTATTTCTGTAGTGACGACTGAAAAAATAAAATAAAAAATTCCAAGTACAAATCGAGTACGGAGAGAATTGGTCAGGGGTCAAATTGCCTTGCGTGTGATGTGAACAAAATGGTCTGACTTATCACCCCGTCCTGCTTAGTTCACACTGACGGTTTTCTAATTTCTACCTTTTTATTCAATTCGTAGTTCGTACACGGTTGTTTGAATTGAATAATTTGGCGGCTTCAGTTTAAATTTGAAGGAAATTAACCCAGCAAACAAAAACAGGTTTTGGTAACCCTTGCTTTAGAAGAAAGCAAAAACAGGTTAGGTTTTAGAAGAAACCCTAACAATCTAATTTTATAATTTCTCATATTAGACCATTGAACCAATCTTTCGTGGACTAGACTGTTGGAACTATGATAAAATTTCAGAGAATCTTACGTGGACTAGACTGTTTTGGTAAGCCTTGCTTCACTTTGAAGGGTTAATTAGAAGAAAATCCAACAATCTATTCTTATCATCACAACTTTAGCAGCTAATGAACATTCAATGGCTACGTAATTGATCGTCTAATGATTCATATATGGTGCTTATAGAATCACTCACAAATTTAAAACGAAAATAGTTTTAGAAACATATACTTTTTTCTTTTAGGGTATATTTGTTTCGTTTTTTTAGTGTGTATTTTTAGGTGTTTTTTATACTAAAAATGTAAAAAACTATATTGAAAATGTAAAAAAGTATCATCGTGAAAATCAAATATCATAATTAGTCCGTTTAGCTCATCCACCCTGGAATTTTCCAAGTCTGATCTGTAAAAATAGCAACTCGGATCTTTCCTTGCTTTTTCTTTTTTCTTCTACGAACACATTTTCAAACCGTTGCACAAAATTATTACTATTATTATTGTTGTGGTCGCTAGACTAACCTGCCAGATTACCTTGCATTGCAAGTTATTTAACTGACTTCACAATTTTCTTCGTAACTTTCATGCATCTTCACAGGATGCATGGATGGAATAGATTATAGTGTGCGTACAGAAAACAACATGTCAAGGCGTCAGCCCCTGTATCAAGTTAAAAACTCTCTGGTCTCATCCCACTGTCCCTTAATTTGATCGATGCCAAACCAAGAATAACGAAGGTCCTCAATCAATCAATTCAAATTTCAAATATAGATATCTTTTCAAAGAAGCAAAAGCGTTATTGATAGACACTAGTCTAGGCTTAAGCCTCCTTGTGCACCCAAAACAATAAAAAAGATAAAAAATAAAAGTGGCAAGGCCAGATAATTAAGTTAAATTACCCATAGAGTTTGTTGTACGTATATTAAAACCAATGCATTTGCGTAAACACCACCCCAAAAAAAAAAAAAAACATTTTCTTGATTAATACAGTAACGTATTTTCTCTTCTCTTGTTGTTTTATTATTTCGTGGATTAACTTGTTCTACATCAAATTTTTTATTCGCGTTACATGTATTCTGGCATCAAAATAATTAACTGTAGGAGCCTAATAATGAAGACTAATAATGTTTTTAAGTGTTTGAGTCTTTGAGATATCGACCCAAGTGAAATATAATATTTGGTGCATATTTAGGGCATAAACTCCTATTATTGGTGAGAGAGTTCATTTGATGGCAATTATTATCATGTAAGCTGATCTATACACGATCAACAAACTCACAAACATATCCTTTGGACAGCACCGATATACGATGTAGCTAGTGTACTGAATATGAATTACGTAGTTGAAAATTACTTTAAATATTGTGACTACTACACTTCACAATTTCTTCAACACCAACGAATGATTCTGTTTTTTCCCCTCTTCATATTGCATAATAGAATTGGATGGATGACCTCCTGATCGTATGCATTTTTTTATTTTTTTCTTCTTAATATTACGCACCTAGTGTCCAAAGTTATTGATCTGACTAATCTGGATTCGAGTTGGGCAAGTCCTTTTTGGGAAACAAAACTCTCCCGAGGAGTATTTTAATCATTGCTGCATGTCCATATCCAAATTTAATCTAATGTCATAATTAAACTAGTTTAGTACCTTTATCCGTGTGCTTGTCGGTTAATTATTTTTTCTCTATACGTAATCGAAATGCAAATCATGCCAAATGGATGCCATGCAAGGTTCCCAATAATTTTCTGGTCAACTAATGTAAATGAGAAACAGTTCGCTAATCTAAATGTGTAATTGCCGACTCAAATGCAGCTAAGTAATAGACTAACTATTAGTATCGTCTATAGATTTTTCTATACCCTCGGGAAAAATCATTGAGTTTATTCGTTGTTAATTTTCTTGATCAATTTTAGTATAGCACGATCGTAAATCATGATATGATTTCTTTCATTATTATTATTTTTTTGTTGGGCTCCTTATATCACACAATCAAAAAATAAAAAATTTCTTAACAAATTAAGAGTGCGGTTGAGTGATACAAACTCATTTATCTTTAGTCACAGTCTGATGTTTGAATCCTATCTTGAGCATGGATCGGAGCAGGCTTAAAATCCGGCAGCCAACCATTTACATACTCCTTACGTTTCAGATAAATAGTCTATTTTATCACATTTATTTATTTATTTATTTTTTTGTGTGTGTGTGGACATAAAAGGTATTAAAAAAAAGTTTCAAATTCCCAATTAAACAGTCATATATAGAATCAGTGATGATGACTTTATCACTTAAGTAAGATGGATGTCACGTATATTTGTCAACTGTATATGCCAGGATCAAATTGGTTCCAAACGCATCAATTGATGAATGCCATTGCAAGGGACAAATTATAGTAGGTTAGAGGAACGTGCATGGTAAGCATTCATTGTTGCAAATTAATTTCAAATTGCGTACTGATCAATCCGTCAAATTTAGGCTGGTTGGTTCTTAGTAAAGCTGAATTTTAAAACCAGTTCTCGTGAAATATGGCAACGTATTCAAGTATTCATCGTTATCTTGAAATTTTGTACTCGTCATTTTATTTTTGCCTTTTCAAATGCACTTTTGTAGACTCCTACTTAACTGTGGATAGAAACCACTTTACATACACTTTAGTGAGAATTAAACCCAGGTTTAATACTAGAAAACACAACATCTTAATTACTACGAGACTGTCATTCAATTCTCATTTGTAATTTATTTTCATTTCAAATTGAGTATTAAAAAGGAAAATTTAATGGAGAAACTTCATACTCTCGATCATTTTTCTACTCGGGTTATAAAAAATAAAAAAATAAAAACATACTACCAGAATCTCCATCTCCAAAGTACGAATATACTCCTCATTTCCAAACAACCAAAATGAAAGTTGAAAAAGGAATTAGATAGAAACTATGGAAGGTCTCCAAGCAGGTAGGAAGGAAGGATAACTGCAAATTACAATGGACAAATTGACAAGTTTGAAACCACATAGGAGGATGGGGTTTCAATGAAACTAACTACGACACATCATGCATGACGTATGTCCGCTAGGTATTTATAATGCGACACACATGACGGGTTTTTGTCATTACGTTTGTAGATTTTTACTCTTCAACATCAAAGGAAGCACCTAACATTTCCAACCTAATCATTCCGGCTAACGTGTCGGAATAATAAAATACATTTATAAAACCATCTGACTTATATATTTCACGTGAATAGTTATGCCCAAAGTTCACACGGATAGCCATTTGACCATATTTTATCAATGTGTGATATATATTGTACTTATATTGTTTAAATTTCTCTGCTTGCTTCTTATTTATATTTTAAATAAAGTCTTGTACGTACTATTACAAGCTTAATTAATATTTCTTTTTTTTTTTCAGGGATAACTAAATTAATGGTCTTACTGTATTTTTATTTACAAAAAGAGTAACATAAAACTTAACGATCCTTACATGTGATTATTATTTCATTTGATGCTATGTGATTATTATGTGGTTAAGTCGTTGAGGTGAAACACATAATAAACTGAACACTATTTATCGGTCGTTGTTTCTGTTCTAAACATAAACTATCTAGGTTGAACCACAAAGTTTTAGTCTAAGCAGTTCATTTTCTACGCGTTGATGGGCCACATGTTATCATCATGTGTTAACCCCACGTTTTTGAATTCAATATTTCTTCTGAAAAGTCCAAAAACGGTATGAATATTCCCAATATAAATACAAAGGGACTGAATCTGAACCAGACCATTCATTCATTCTTTCATTCATTCATTCATTCGTTCCCCACTAACAGCAGCTAAAGCTTGCTTTGCCAACAGCAGAAGTTAGTCCATTTCTGTCTCCGCGAGCATTTCTTTTAGTCTGTTCAATCTTCTTCATTTTGAAACCTCTACAATAGTCATCACTAAATATGCCTGGACCAATCAGCAACCGAATTGTTCTTCCTCACATCTTCTTAGTCTCTTACCCTGCTCAAGGCCATGTAAATCCTCTTCTCAGGATTGGCAAGATTCTTGCTTCCAAAGGCCTGCTGGTCACGCTCTCTGCACCAAACACCATTGGTGACAAAATCCGAAAATCCAACAAAAGCATTTCCGAAGAGCCCACTCCCTATGGCGATGGAATGATCCGATTTGAGTTCTTTGACGATGAAAGCCAGCATATCACGGTTCCGGATGAGCACGCAGCACATCTTGAGAAAATTGGGAAGCAGAAGCTCCCAATAATGCTTCAGAAAAATGCCGAACAGGGTCGCCCTGTTTGCTGCCTGATTTACAGCTGCTTCATTCCTTGGGTTGCTGAAGTAGGCGAGTCTCTTCGAATCCCTTCTGCTCCGTTGTGGGTTCAGTCTGCCGCCTGCTTCTCAGCTTATTACCATTATTACCACAAACTCGTTCAGTTCCCCACTGAATCCCAACCTGAATTGGACGTTCAGTTGCCCTGTATGCCACTTTTGAAGTATGATGAAATCCCCAGCTTCTTGCATCCTTGGACACAGTACCCTTCTATCACCGATTCAATCTTGGGAATGTTCAAGCACTTGGACAAGAACTGCTGTGTACTGATGGAGTCGTTCCAGGAGCTGGAAAATGAGGAAATCAATTACATGTCAAAGCTCTGCCCCATCAAACCAATTGGTCCCCTCTTTAGATATCCTACCGAGAAATCTGCAGGGTCAGCCAAAGTGGATGTTAGTGTCTACTCCGCCGATGATTGCACTGAATGGCTCGACTCAAAACCAGCATCCTCTGTGGTGTACATATCATTTGGAAGCGTGGTCACATTGAGCCAAGAACAGGTGAATGAAATTGCCTATGGGCTATTGGATTCAGGAGTATCATTCCTGTGGGTGATGAGGCCTCCCAGGCTGAGCTCCCAGAAGGTTTCTTGGAGGCAGTTGGTGATAATGGCAGAATTGTGCAGTGGAGCAACCAGCAACAAGTTTTGGTTCATCCTTCGGTGGCCTGTTTCGTGACTCATTGCGGATGGAACTCAACAATGGAAACACTTTCCTCAGGATGTCCAGTGTTGACTTTCCCAGATTTAGGTGATCAGGTGACTGATGCTAAGTATCTGGTGGATGTCTTTAAGGTTGGGCTAAGATTGTCGAGAGGTGACTTCGAAAAGAGAGTCATTCCCAGAGATGAAATCGCAGAGCGGTTGATTGAAGCCACAACCGGTCCCAAGGCTGCAGAGATGAAACAGAACGCAATGAAATATAAGAAGGCAGCGGAAGAGGCTGTGTCAGAAGGTGGCTCCTCCACTTCCAATCTGCTGGATTTCCTGAACGAACTCGCAATTGGCGTTCCCATGATGTAGAACATCAACAGTGGAGCATGAAACTGGTCAATCAGTCCAAAACATAGAGAGAGTTTGAAAATTATTACTACGACAACATATTGCATTGACCAGGATCGTGATGATGGGCCTACAACTAAACAACAGCAAGTTACAATACTTTTTATGCGTAGTTACAATAAGTTAGCATTTTTTCAATTTGACCAGTTGCTGATGTGTATATAAATTCTATTCTTTGAATGTTAAAACTGCAACCTTCGCTTGTCTCAAAGATCATGACCAATCCTTAATTTAAATTTGGCTCCGTCAAAAAATTTCAGCAACCAATACTTTGGCCAGCTGTCTCGTCCATCGAAGTGCCTACAATTCAGCGTGGGAATTAGTCAATGTTGTCGACGGTAGACACCCTGTAAATATGTAAAAATATATATATATATATATATATATAAATAAAAATTTCAGCAACCTTATTGATATGACTATGATCCCAGGTTTTTTCTTCCGTTTTCTTTTGTCTTCGTGATTTTTGATATGATCATTATTTCGTTCGTTCATATTGTTTTTTAGTGAAGAAACCTACAAAAATCATGCCATTTCGCTGCGATATAGGACATTAGGACCTCGAGAAATGAAAAACTTGACTCAATAATTTAAAATTACTTCAAACTCATGGACAAAGTTCAAAATCCCGGCCCCTATGATACGCGTGAAAAAGTCACTTTAACCCAGTTAAAAGTTAAAAGTTAAAATGGGTGCGTTCAAAGACTAAAACTAAATGAAAGGTCCAGCCCATAAGTCGATGTTAAGACTTAACAAACTAGTCAAAGCCCAGTGTGTTATTTAAAATACTTCTTCCGTCCCATAATTATTGTCCTGTTTAAGTTTTCATTTTTAGTTCAAATTATACTAAAAGTGAAAACCCAACTGGACAATAATTATGGGACATAGGGAGCATCACTTTTTTTTTTAGTTATGATTAGAATATTTTTCTTTTTTTTTTTTTTCCTTTTTCATTAATAAGGCCTCTTTTTAGGATTTCAAGGAAAAAAGAAATCAGAATTTTCATCTTATTTCATCTCAGCTGTACAGCCTTAGTGACTTTATTTTCTAAATTTTTGTACAGGAATAAGAACGTTTTTGTTCCAAACCCGTTTTGATTGATTAAATAGTTGAACTAATCTACCTCATACCGCCAATGAAGTCAATTAGCTCGATGCAAAGTCTCTCGTCATAGGTGCCAAAAAATTGATAAACCAAATCCTATCCAGAGGTCATACATATATGTAGCAAGCCTCCAACTACTACACCAATGAATCTTGTCATTTTTTTCCACAGAAATAAAAGACAGTCTATATACATAAAACTGAAAAACAAACACTAACAGGTTAGCGTCTCCAACTCATGAAATTTTTTGTCGTCCATTCTACATTTATGTCACACACCAACTATCAGTTAGCATTTAACAAAACTACATGTCGATAACAAAGATGAAACGGACTTACAGGTTATTGTGAAAAAACTAATATGACATCTCATTATCAAAATAATATTTACGGTGATAAACAGTTAAACACATAATGAAAAACAGTAAGAACTGATGCAGTGTTATGGTCTCTTATTCTTGCAACACTTTCTTGTTTAAAATTTATTTTATTTTTCTCTAAAAATTACACTTTTACTCTTAATTATTGTGTACACATCATTTTTTGATTCTTCAATATATTCTTTTTAGTAACTCTATCATTACTCGCCATCATCTTTATTAAGAGTTTGGTAAGTTTTTGAGTACATTTGTGAGTTTCAGGAATCGAATCTCGTGTGCAACCACAATATAGTGTGCTCTAGCCTTTATTAATGCAACAATTGAAGTTCTCAAAATCGTTTTCATGAAAGAGCACCACTACTAAATACTGTAGAGATTTTCCGTTGAAGCATATGGGCGTGGGCTCCATTGCACGAGATTCCCTTCATTACAGGCCTAGTCCTGAAAATGAAGTAACGGGCAAAAATACTATGTGGTCCAGACCAAGGTTTTCAAAATTCCGATTTCTTAGGATCTTACGATCGTGCGATCTAGAATCAGGAAATAGATCCTGAATCTTATAAAATTTTTCTTTGTAGTAGGATTTTATAGAATCCTTCAAAATCTCAATATCCTACGATCCAGTGATCCGATTTATTTTGTCGATACTTGTACAAATTGTTAATTTTGCATTGAAAGAGGGGAAAATGATTAGAAAAAAATATAAAAAGTTAAAATTTTGAGTTGATGATTCTTATGAGTACACTAATCTACTTTTCTTCCATAAAATCAAACAAGAATTGAACTAACAAATTAAAATTTGCAATTTTAAAATTATTATAATATTTTAGATGGTTACGATTCCAATGATCCGATCCCACTGATCCAGAATCCGATTCGATCCTGAGACACCAAAACAATATATGTGAAATCCCAATTTTGAAAACATCGGTCCAGACTCTAGAGGGGGTTCTAGCATTTGGGGCAGGGCTCGTTTTACACGAGAATGCCTGGGAGCCCAATTGTCATTTCAATGGTTGTCGTTGGAAAGTCTGCCAAATGGCGAGCTCACGTGCTCGACCGAGGTGTGAGGACGTTGGTGTTGACTTTCTGTTTTCTGTCACTGCCAACTTGCTTCAATCTCTGCCCTCTAAAGTTGGTCAACACTACTATGGTTGATTTTGGTTGCCTTTGCTTTAAATTGAAAAAAAAAAAGAAGAAAAAAAAAGGACAGATGTCGCATTGATTTCTCACTGGTTGCTTTAATAGCATAAGTTAATTAGTTGAATCAGAAATGGCTGGTGATGCCAACCTTTAAACAATCCGCCCACTACATCTACTACTACTAGAGAGAAATAACAAAAATGATGAAACTCTGCAATCACCATTTATATACTCCATTCGTTTCAAAAAATAGTCCAGTTTAATAAAAAAAATTTATCCAAAAAAATAGTCCAGTTCACAAAAGTAAAAATTAATTGAATTGAAATGACTTACATATCTAAAAGAATATTGGTAAGAAAAACAAAAATCACTTTCTTTGATTTTCATTTTTTTTTTTAGTTTTCTCTCGTTTTTTCAAATGATTATATCTTTTAATACATAAATAATTAAAAAATGTGTTATATATCAAATTAATCTACGTAACGAGATCTTTCCATCAAGATCCATTGTCAATATTTTTTGAGATAAAAATTTTGATCAAATTTAAGTTGTAAAATAAATACATATGTAGTTAACTTTTATAAAAATAACCAGAAGTGGCATTAGCGTAAGTTAGGGGCATAAAATGAGTTTTACATTTTGTGTGTTGACCAAATTAAAAAAGTTGTATATTTTCAAACTGGACTATTTTTCTGGGACGGAAGAAGTAATTCCGAGATGAAATGAGTGATAAAGTGAAAATTCACCCCAAAACCGACTTAAATAGATTGTTAAATCATTTAGATTAATACGTAATGTTTTGCACCTATAACAATATACATAGATGACAATAGAAAGTAAGACTAATAAAAATACCAAATATCAACAAACCAATTTTCGGGTACGTGATCAGTATCAGTAGAAAATGTAGATTCGGATATTCCAATCAAACAAGGACATCAACGGCTTCACTTCAACGTAATTTACAAGCCAGAAAGCAATAGTCTTACATTAGACATTCAAGAGTCTTAAACTAATAGTATTAGAAAAAGATACTAGTCCGTAGAGGCTACTGTAACTCAATTGTAGAAGTGAACGGTCCTCGTTTTATTCGGGTTAATTAATTCATAAACTTGGACTAATGAACAAAAAACTTACTTCGCTTTCACAGAAAAATCACAACTGTTTCCATGATTCATCCTCCCCCCTTTTTTTTTTTACCACATCGGAACGCCAGCGTTTAACTCATTGAGAAATTCAAGCAGGTTCAAATGGGATGACCCACCAACTGCCACCGCTGCTTCCGCCTTCTCCTTGTACTTCAACGCATTATGTTTCAGCTCCGCCGCCTTGGGACCGGCGGTGGCTTCCCTCAAGCATTTCTCGATTTCATCTCTGGGAATGATTCTGTTGTCAAAGTCGCCCCTTGACAATCTGAGCCCAACTTTGAATACCTCAACAAGATACTTAGCATCAGTCACCTGATCACCCAATTTCGGGAAACACAAAACCGGAACACCGGAGGAAAGCGTCTCCATGGTTGAGTTCCATCCACAATGAGTCAAGAAACAAGCCACGGAACGATGGGCCAATACTTGTTGCTGGTTGCTCCACTGCACAATTCTGCCATTATCACCGACCTTTTCCAGGAAACCTTCTGGAAGATCCGCCTGAGGAGGCCTCATCACCCACAAGAATGAAACGCCGGAATTCAGAAGCCCGTACGCGATCTCCTCCACCTGTTCCTGCTTCAAGATGACAGCGCTGCCAAATGATATGTAAACCACCGAATTGGCTGGTTTTGAGTCCAGCCACCCTTTACAATCATCGGGTTTGTAAACGTTGACGCTAACATTTGCTGAGGTAGAGGCTATATTGGTTGAGTACCGAAACAGGGGACCAATCGGCTTGATGGGGCAGAGCTTTGACATGTAATTGATCACATCATTTTCCAGCTCCTGGAATGATTCCATCAGTACACAGCAATTCTTGCTCAAATGTTTGAACATGCCCAAAATGGAGTTTGTTAAAGATGGGTATTGAGTGTGAGGATGCAAAAAGCTGGGGATTTCATCATGTTTCAGAACAGGCATACAGGGCAAGTGGACATCCAATTCGGGTTGGGATTCGGTCGGGAATTGAACAAGTTTGTGGTAATAATGGTAATAAGCTGAAAAACAGGCAGCCGATTGAACCCACAAGGGAGCAGATGGGATTCGGAGGGATTCCCCTACCTCAGCCACCCAAGGAATGAAGCAGCTGTAAATCAGGCAACAAACAGGGCGGCCCTGTTCGGCGTTTCTCTGGATCATTTTGGGGAGTTTCATCTTCCCGATCTTCTCAAGATGTGCAGCGTGCTCATCGGGAACCGTGATGTTCTGACTCTCATCATCAAAGAACTCGAACCTGATCATTCCATCACCGTATGGAGTTGGCTCTTCGGAGATATTCTTGTTGGAGTTTCGGATCTTTTCTCCGATGGTGTCCGGTGCCGTGAGAGTGACCATCATGCCCTTTGAAGCAAGAATCTTTCCAAGCCTAAGCAAAGGATTAACATGACCCTGGCCTGGATAGGAAACCAGGAAAACATGTGGAAGAACATTACTGAGTTGACCCACCATTTTTGTTTTCTGGAACAAAGGACCGAAGAGAAAACAACAAAAACAGAGGAAGAAGAAGAAGAAGAAGTGAGAACTGACACTCCCCAAAGAGAAAGGACTAGAGAAAGCAAGCTCAGTTATATTATAATAGAGGGTGCTCAGGATCTAATTTAGGCACTTGTATATTTATACTAAAAACTCCTTGACGTTGAAAATAATTTATCGACTAATTCGTATCAAGTGGGGCTAAACATGACGAGCATGATATTGAAATTAACATAGATATTCTTATTAAAATAATTCTTAGTAATTAATACTTCCTACGGGTGTAAAATTTAACCCTTAAGATGAGAAAACCAATATTTAGCGCAAATTTCTACTCGCAATAAATATACTTCTACACTGAGGTCTCTTTCTTTGTACCTATGAGATGGTAGTAATTCTTAACAATAATAAATTTAGTGGATGCTATGAAATGAATTACTAAACACGTAGTGCGACAAAAAATGGGCCCTTTGATTTTTAACGTTTTACAATGCCACGCCACGTGAATTTTGGTTAAAAAAAAAAAATGGTGTCTAGCTTGCTTGACCTTGCAGGATTAACAGTTGTCGAATTCTCTAATATTTGTCATTAGATTAATACAATTTGATCATTAGAGCCACTAATTACGTTACTGTGTTCCATGTATTTTCTAGAGATTCCTCTTATCTATGCCGATTTGATTTTACGCACATGGCATAATCTCAAAGTAAAAATCTGTAATTTTCACAGATCAAAAAGGAGTGAAGATAGACTAGCAACTTTGTTTTTATCTCAAATGGTTAAACATAATGGAAACTACATTTATTTACTTATGCTTCGCCTTATTTGTTGATTATACATCAGGATGGGGAACGGTGCAGATCTTTTTGTCCTAGTAAATAGTATTTCGGTAGTTAAATTAGTTATACATCAGAAAAAGGAGTAAATAAGAGGATTAGATTAATCTTAATTTATTTGACTGTCTTTTTGTTTTACGTTTGTAATGGATCTATCTAGACCTAGAATTTTTAAGTTATCTTAATGTGGTAGAACTTTTATTTCGGACTAAGATTTATGAGTTGCTTTATGTAATTTTCACTTAAATTAAGAAAGTTGGGGGGACTTTGTTCCAAGTATTACAGTAGAATGTCAGTAAATTAATAATCTATAAATTAATAATTTTCTCCGGTTCAACTTGGGACCAGTACAAAAAGTGAAGAAAATCGATAAAATAATAATGTTTCAGATAATCTCTTATATATTTATAGGTTCCAACAATACCATAAATTAATAAATACTTTAAAAGTAAAAAAATAATGATTATTATTACAAATAGTTAGTGAAAATTTTTTAGTTTGTGGAGATGATATGAACTATGTATGGACTTTTAGTATTAAGAAGGTTTTTAATACTCGATTGATTCAAATGTAAGTAAAAATGCAAATTAAGGAATTTAGTGACGATTCTTTTTTCTCATAAAAATTTTTTAAACTAATAATTTATTAATATATCGATTATTTAATAATTTTTTAAATTAATAAATTTTGGTAGTACCAACATTATTAATTTATAGAAGTTTTACTGTATTTTGATTTTTTCAAAAGAAAAAAAATTATAAGAAATACTATCATTATCAAAATAGTTGGTGGTAGTTACAGTACTGGCCGACTCTATCAGATGACCTCATATTGATGATATTTTCCATCTGACCTGAAATTAAATTAGTCTATTAAAACTGAAAAATTGCTTTTTATTTTTTAGTATAGTTTAACCCGTACGCAAATATCAATCAAAGTTAGAAGATCCGAGTGTAAAGATTCCAAATGAGTGTCTGTCTTAGAAAAAGATAAATTCATTATATTAAACTAAAATAGTTTAATAATATTAGTTTTTTCTCTATGACAATATCATATAGATATTACTAGATGTTAACGTGCAGGATAAATAAATTTAAATTTATTTTTTTACTAAAAATATTTTTAAGAAAAAACGAACATAATGAACAATCTTAAATGCAAAACTATTGTAAGCACTAATTCGAGCTTCCAAGAACCCATCCCTAACTATAGCAAAGACAAAGGTGAAGTTGATCAGAATTTGAATAAAAGAGCGGCATTTGAATAAACAATTATATATATATTTATTTATTTTCTCTTTGATTATATTTGGGATTAGGTTAATTTGTGGGAGTTATTGTTTGATTCCCTTAATTAAGTCTAACCATTATTGGTCACCTTGTTTTATAGTGATTCCAAATACAAATTGGACTGCTCAAAGGCAATCGATCGTGGAAAAATGTCATATAGTAAAACTCTGTATATTCACCCTAAATATAAAAATGTTATCAAAATTATTGTGTTAAAATTGCTTCCTAATTTTTCTCTTTTTAAAAAAGCCCTATTTTTAGGGAGTCACTTAAACTATTATCATGAGATGATCCTAATTTAGTGTTTAATTTAGCAAGAAATTCAAGGGTATTAACACAATTTCCATAACTTATTTTTTTTAGAACACATAAAATAATTACACATTAGATTTTATCCTAGTTGTCACTCTAAAAATGAAACTTAATTTCTCTCTTCGGTTTCTCTATTAGTAACTAGTGATGTCTAGTAGCGCACATGGCCCAGTCTATACTTAGTTTTGGAGATTTTTAATAGATTTGTAATAAGTTTCATCCGAAGGGTATACGTTTAAAACAAAATTGACATTTTGTGACGAAAACTTAATTGATCAATTCAATTTAGGCTCCATAATTAAGAAAAGAAAACCACTCTAATTGAATGAAACATAAAGGAAAAAAAAAAAAACGTGTCACGTAAAGTGCAAAGGGGGATTTAGTAATTTAATTATGGTTAGACAAAAGGGCAATTTAGTACTTTTTTTCATGTCACGTGGCAATCATAGGAGGTGTTTGAAAGGGAGTTTTTATTTCTAATATAGTAGGATATACTAGGATATATATAGATTTCAGATGCTGATGGTTCGAAATGGGGGTGTTGAAAATTCTCTCTGTTAGATAATATATTTTAATAATATTATTAATTATTTCATAAATCTTTTTGGTTGGTTATGTATAATGAAATTGGTCAAACATGTTAAAATAGTAAAGATTTGTAGAAAACTAAGATCTTGTAATATATCTACAACAAATCTTATTTCCGAATTAAATTATAATTACAACCGCCTCTAGCTAAACACATTTCATACTGAGCAATGGTTGATATATGGTGATAATATCTGTTGTACCGAAAGAAAAATATAATAATGCTCGTTATACAGTATATTTCTTCGATCCAACCACGTAATTCGATACTTTGTAACTTTCTTTTGTCTGAATTAAAGGTTACTTAAACTCAAAACATTACTGCATATGTTTTTCTTGGCTAAAATCAGACATGATGATGAGACTTGACAGATTTCTATCCCTTTTATTCGCGATAATCATTGAGACACAGTAGTCATATAGAAGTGGAAAAACATGATCAACAGAAACACAATGTTCAAGCGAATTAATGGAAGAGGTTTTTACCCAAATAATTTTCAATAGAAGAACCTGGCAAAAATATATGTCATGGAGTGGTGTGGACAAATTTAGTTATTTCGGATTTGCGAAATCCGAATCTATCCATTTTGTACTAGATTCGGATTTGACAAAATCCGAGTCTCTTTGTATTACAACTATGTGATGAATCAATTATATTGGGTAGATTCGGATTTGCAAAATAGATAGATTCGGATTTGACAAATCCGAGACAACTAGTTTTATCCACCAAAAATAGAAAAAAAATTTTATTTTTATCCACATCTTTTTTTGGAAATTTTTTTGGCCGAATCACCCATTAATGGAAATCCTTTAGTCATACCACCACTCCCATTCATTTAAAACTTTGATACTAACATTTCTAGAAAGCGAAAATACATTAACCATACTATACGTTATTACAAGGTTTTCACATCCCAAAAAGGAGAAGTCCTTCCAAAAACGTAGATCGCCAAATTCAATCCTTATCTAATTTCGCGAGATAGAGATAAACCCTGCCGATCATTACTAAAATGTACTTCTCCTGATTTTTATTATTAGATATTTTAATTTGTTCAAAAATTTCAGCTAGTATGTTTTTATAATTGAGAAAAAAAACTTTAAAAATATTTCTTAATAGTTAGTAGGACACAATGAATGTGAAAATATATTTTTAAGATTTTTTTTTTAATTTTTAAAAAATAAATTATGTAAAATTTAAGACAAATCAAAATGATTTATAATAAAGACTCGTAAGAGTATTTGGTTCAATGGTAAATGTATAAATCATCAGGCTTTTGGTAATGACATGAATATACATAGAGGAGTGATTGAAATATTTAATGGAATCCGTTTGGCTTAATTTTGAGAGAAATCTAAACGTTCATATCAATCAGGAAAATGAATTTAGTAGTTGTGTAAGTACCAAAATATTTGTTGTCACTTTTCTGTATCCACAAGATTGAGACATGTAACTACGTATTAATGGAGAGGATGTAAGTCCTGTAACTGACCGGGTACCCGTGTAAACAGATATTGCTCCGGTCACCGCCCAAACCAAGGTTCATATTACTGTTTACATGGGTGGTGCCTGAATATATATATATATATATATAATTGTTTGTTGTACGTATTTTTATTTAGGGTTAGTTGTGACACGGAGTGTGAATGATTTTAGCCGTTTTTCTTTCTTCAAAGAACTGAATAAAAAATAATAGTAATGATAACAAGGAGCCACAGTTAGACATGACGATGGAGTGGTGTACTAGGAACGAGGAAGTTTGCTTTCACATGTTCACCAGCTAATTCAATGGTGTGAATTTCTGAACTCCAAAATCCAAAAAAGTCTAAATTCCTTTTCCTACCTCATTGACAAATTTATCCTTATTATCTTCTTCTCCCCAAAATTCTGTCACCAAATGGACCATAGACATCACCGTTTCTACCAGCAAACTGGCACCACATACAGTATTAAGAAAATATCTGCGCTGTAAAGTGTAAGCTTCCCCTCAATTCTGGGAGCCATATGGATTGTTTTTACGAATCGACAGCCAGATAATTAATATTCAATGTGATCAATAGAATCTTCATCCACACATGATTCACATGCACGTTTA